GGGGGATTACTCCTCAAGTTACTGGCCTTTCCGCTCCTGGCCTTCTTTCCGCTATCCCCACCGCCTCCAGCAACAACACCTTTCGAAATCCCCATCAAGGCTATCCTCTGGTACATGGTGCTTGGATGTGGCCCGTACTTTCCAGCGATGACAAGGCCAGACACCGAGGGATCGCTGTGGATATATTCGTCACAGGCGGCTGCGACGCGTTCTCGTGAGGCTCTCTTACCTGCCTTGGGAAGCATGAGGCTTTGCCGCTCTGGTCTTGTTGTCGCTGTGGTTGGCCTTGCTGCCACTTCCCCATCGCCGTCCCGAGCCTCGATTGGACTCTTTTTCTTTTTCTCCATATCTCTCAACTCCCCTCTCCACTTTCTCACTCTGAGACTGCCAATCTTCACGTCATACCGCGTGGCATAAACGCGCAAATCGAAATCCTCAGGGTTATTATAGAGGTAGTCATCAAGCGCAGCGCTCACGCGTTCGCTCTTGGTCATTCGGTCCACCGGCCGTTGGTGGGAAACCGGCTGAGGCCTGGTCCTAAGCTCCATTGTGTTGTCGGGCTTCGTCCCTTGCTGCTGGCCCTTCATCTTCTTCTTTGATACCGGCATATTAGAACTGTAGCCGGGGCTTGAGCGTAAGGAAATGAGTCATTGGACCATTAGGTGTAGCCCAGGAATGGACCGGCCATATGGTTGATGTGAGGACAGTGCTTGTTTACTGATGTTGATGTTTCCGAAGTAGAGTGGGTTGAGGCGTGGTCAACATACGAGGAGGGGACAGAGCCGCATCAATACACCTACATGACGCGCCGTAAACAACCGGATGGTACTAGACATGCTATCGAGTAGTTCTAGGGTCAATCCACTAAAGTGACTGTGCTGCACTGATACACAGACACTATTCAATCAAAACTCACCAAGGCCACCTGCTTCCTGCCACTCTACTGCAGCGTGATCCAGTAGTGTGTTACAGTAGTGTAAATACGACCACGGGGAAGCTCACTCACGTTTTCCGTTCGTTTAGGTCTTACACTGTGCGCCCCGTCAGCCCTTCCTGCCTCCCCCTTCGAGTTGGAGAAGTGGTATCTTGAAGTACTCCATGTACACAGTTAGTGCTGTATGGGATTTGTGCCGTAGATCATGTACCTCTAAAGCCGATGTACAAGTTGTTGAGCGAGTTGGAGGTATCTGAAATCGCATGTGCTTCTTGTTCTCACACCAGTCGGCCATCTCTCCGTAAGAGATGGTTGGTCTTCTCCCCGCTCCAATGTCTCCTCGTCGCTTCAGAATTGAAGGAATGCCGAGGTCAATGTCCGTCTGGCCAGACTGGGAAAGAACTAGGATTCACGAATATGTAATAACATGTGGTAACTCAATTTTACGTAAGAGTGCTTGCGTAGAGTGAGCATCCTCCTCTAATCGCACCTAAACGCAGAGCCTTTCGCTAATTCCTGACCTAGTTGGTACTGAATTCGATCCGCCGCAAAAGCTCTCACCCGTATGAGAACGCCATAACTCCTATTGTGGACATATTTATCACAAGCCCAGAAACGCTTTCTTGGTATAACACTGATTCTGAGGTCGGCTGGAAGTACGAGGATGTTGTTGCCAGGTACGTTGGTTCTGCAAGAGGAGCCGATGTCGTTTTTGTCCCCGTTCAGCCCTGCTAGCTTTTGATGACCGGCCCATCCGAGTCTCTTCTCAGCCGCAAAGCTAATCGCGGTCTTCGCGATCCCTGTACTTCTCCCGATACCGGTCCCTATCCGGAGACCGGCTGTAACTCCTGCTCCTGCTCCTGCTCGGACTGCGACCGTGGTTGCCCCCAGCCCTTCTGGGGGGCGGGCTCCGACTCCGACTGTAGCTCCTGCTGCGGCTTCGGCTCCTGCTCAGGCTCCTCTCCCTCATCGGGCTTCTGGACCGGCTCTTATCCCTGACTGGGCTCCTCGTGCGACTCCTTTCCCTGATGGGACTTCTGCTCCTGCTCCTGTCCCTACCACCTCCAGCGGCACCTCGGTAGCTGTCAACCTCCCTCTCCCTTCCTCCTCTTCCGCCTCTCCCACCCCTTCCCCTCGGAGTTGGCGGCCTGTCCCAATCTCTGGGAGGAGCACGACGTTCCCTACTAGAATTCAGCCTGCCCTCGTCCCTATCTCTGCGGCCATGACCACGACCACGACCCCGATCACGATCACCACCACGGTCACGATTGCCAGACGGCCCAGTTGGTGCGGGCGGTGGCCCCATGCTGCTGCTGCTGCTGCCACCGTTTGCCTCGCGATCAAGCGCGCCCTTCAGCCTCTCCTCCTGCTTCTTCCAGTGGCTTCCCTCTTGGTAGTCCCGGCTAATCTTGAGCGCCTGGCGCAACCGCTCGCTCTCCTTGATCTTGGCGTCGGCTAGTTCGTGGACCTGGTGCATCTTCAAGTTCTTGCGGGGACCGGTAGGCGCGCCGCGGCTGTTTTGGTTGCGCTCCATTTCGGCGAGGAGTTTCTGGCGGAGTTCGCCGCAGCGGGTTTCAATTTCATCTTCTTCGACGCTGTTGAAGGCGTTAGCAAGTTAGTTACCTGTTGGTGATGAGACCTGAGAGCAACTTACCCCTCTTCTTCCAACTTGTCGCGCAATTCGAACACCTTAACTTCGACTTCGCGCTTGCGGTCATGCTCGAGAAGGCCCTGGTCTGGCTGGCGCGGTTGGTGTTTTAGGCTGTCAAAGTCCTTGGGCGGGTACTGGAAGTTGTCGCGCGGACGGTTAAAGTGGGCGAGGTTACGCTGGACATAGCCCGAGGTACCGCTACCACGTGGTGTGGAGAGACCGACGTTGTCGGACATTGTTGGTAAGATTTCGGGGATATAACGGTTTTGTTGATGATGATGATGCAAAAGGGAAGAAAGCAGCAGTTGGCCCAGTTCTGGGTGGTGATCAATTGAGGTAACGCTAACACTGAAGGCGGTGAAAGTTTGACAGTTCACAGTTGGAGTTGCCGAGTTAGATGCTTTGAATGCGCCGGCAGAATTGTGGATCCTGCCTAGAATGTGGATCCTGCCTGGAATGTGGAGTCATTGGGCGAGTGGGGCACTGACGTTCTCGAACTCTTGACCCTGCGGGGTGCGATTTTCTTAGCAGAGTCCCTTTTGCCGTTGGGATCTTCCAAAGTTCAACATTTGCCCCGCAGCGAAATTTGATGACAATCCAATCTTTCATTTTCTGCGATACTTTCAGCAATCTACTTTTGAGTCATCTGGAACACTTTCAACGGCTATATAGCTCCATCCGACCTTTACACGTCTTGCGCAACTCCAAAAACACTACTACACTTCCCAACACTCCTCGACAAGCTCCTCCATCATGCCTGCTCTCGAAGGCATGCTAGAAGCCGCCAACGCGCCGCAACACAAAGATGGCGAAATTGCCTTCCCCCCCGTCACCCGGGACCACATCCTCCACTGCTCCTACGACTACTGGTTTCCCAAGTACCGCACCTCGTGCATCCGCTCGCGCGTGATTCCGCTCAGTCGCGACTTCGTCTCCTACATCCGCGAAGACGGCATCATCCTCGCCGACGACGAGCCCGGCAACGAGAACGATTCCGATGACGACGACTGGGAGCCGACCGTCCCCTCCTCTGAGATCCCCGCACCCCCGCGCAACCCCGGCGACGCCGACAACGACTCCGACTCAGACGATGAGGACTCAACCCCCGCCAAGCTGCCTCCCAACAAGCGCTTCCCCGACCTTCACAACGCCATCAACGCAGCCATCAAGGCCCTCGGCGGCGCCGTCGCTCCCAAGCTCAACTGGTCGAGCCCCAAGGACGCGACCTGGATTTCGCGCCACCCCAACACGGTGAAGTGCACTTCAGCCAACGACATCTACATCCTCTTGAAGTCCTCGTCCTTCATCAGCCACGATCTCGACCACGCTTTTGACGATTGTGTTGGCGTCCCCTCCGTCTCCTCCTCGACAACATCGCAACAACAGCAACCATTCCAACCCGTCCTCGCCCTCCGCTCCTTCTTCTCCCCGCTCCCCTCTCTCGAATTCCGCTGCTTCGTCAAAGACCGCCATCTAATCGCCATCACCCAGCGCGACCTCAACTACTACGCCTTTCTGCGCAACTTGCGGCCTGCCATCATCGCGCGCTGTCGCGAGCTGTTCAACACCAAGCTCAAGTCCACCTTTCCCGATTCGTCCTTTTGCTTCGACGTTTACATCCCCGAGGCGGCGTACCGGTCGGACTCCGAAGACAGCGATGAGGACGAGACGTCAGAGGTGAGAAGTAGACTGGCCAGAGCAAGGCTGATCGATATTAACCCCTGGGCGCCGAGGACGGATACGATTCTGTTTGGGTGGGAGGAGTTGTTGGAGGCAGAGGTGAGGATGGCGGCGGAGTCAATAACAACAACAACAACAACAACAACAACAACAACAACAACAACAAACAACAACAACAACACCCCAGAGAAAAGAGGAGAAGACCGTCAGGCTACGGTTCTCCACAACAGGGGCGGCTGCTGCTGGGGGAGATGATAACCTTACGGAGCCAGAAGAGGACGACTTGGATGATGATCTTGATGACGAGACGACGGAGGATGATGACGAGCAGGAAGACGAGGAAGACGAGGTTGAGCTGAGACTGGTGGAGCAGGATGATCCGGCTGCGTACAACTTCAGCTCGCCGCAGTACTCGGCACATAAGATGCCGAAGGATGTGGTGGATGCTAGTATGGCGGGTGAAGGGGGCATGCGGGAGTTTGCTAGGGAGTGGCAGAGGTTACAGGAGCAGAGGGGCGGTGGTTCTAGCAGCTAAGGTAGCAAAGGTTATGCGGACGTTAAGGATATGGGATGCTTGAAGACTACATAAAAAGCGTCATCTCAGTCAGTTCAGGTATATCGAAGCGACCAAAAGCAAAATGGCATTCCCGGTTAGGGTATGAAGACACTAAAATTGGTATCTTTTCCATCCCTATATACATATACAATATAACACAAACAATACAACAACACCTTTCCAAACCCCTTCCAAACCCCTTCCCAACCCCGATTGATTACACACCAGACCACTTCCCAAACCTCTCCCACCGTTTATACATCTCCCTAAAGATCACCCGTCCGCTCGGATCCATGCCATCGTTCATGATCCTCAACTCGCCCTCCGCGGGCGTGATATCCACAATACTAAACATGCCCGTCTCCAGCTGCTCCCTGACTACCAGGGGCACCACAAACTCCAGCTGAAGCTTTACGTACGCCATCAGCACCAGGTACATGTGCTGGCCGGCGTAGCGCTTAGCTTTGTCTTTTTCGCTGTCGAGGGGTTGATGTTGGTTATGATGGTTGTGTTCGTGATCCTTTTGATCCTTGTTGGAGGCAGAAGAGCGGGAAGAGACGGAGGCAACGGTTGGTTCGGTAATAAGCGTCAAGAGCCTCGACAAAAGCTTGGCGTGGTGTTCCTTTGTTGAGTCCGACAGGAGAGAGGGGGAGGTGGATGTGGAAGAGGCGGAAGAAATGAGGCGGCGGAGGAGGGATTGCAAGGCCGGAATCAAAATGTGGAAGTGCCCGTCTAGACGCTTTCTGTGGCGCTTGATGACGATCTCGACGAGGTGGCAGAGAGACTCGTAGGTTCTGGGGGTGGTGGCGAGCATGGTTGCGGACAAGACGTCGGAGGCGATGGCGGACACGGCGCTGAGGGTCGAGTCGATGTTCCACTGGGTCATGCATTGGGCCTTCTTGTCGAGGAGGAGGTGGACAATCTTGGCGATCTGGATGAACTGTGCTGGCGAGGTGGTGGCTTGGGAGAGTCGGCTGCAGAGAAGGGTGTGGGCGTGGGCGAGGTCGAACTGTCCCTGCGAGGGATCATTGGCTTCGCGAACAGGTGGGCGAGAGCCGCTGATGTGCTGGATCAACCTCTCCACGATAAGGAGGCGGCTGCTTGCGCATGAGGTTTCGCTTTCCTCGAGGAGAAGCTCCTTGAGGTAGCCGAGCTTGGCGTCTTCGTCGACACTATTGACTACCACGTCGACATACTCGAGCACTGAGAGCTTCTCAAAGGCTGCGGTCACCGAGCCTGGCTTCTCAGTGATATTACCCTCCTCGTCACTGTCGTCAGCTGCAGGTTGAGCGTCGGTGGCGATCTTAAGGGGTGCGCCTAGTTCTTCCCTGAAATGCTTAGCGATGAAGGTGCGGACTTCCCACCCGGCTTGGTATCCATGCTCGAGTAGCCAATTGCTAGCCTTGAGCAGGGTACCAACCGCCGAAGAGAACTTCTTGACAACCTTGGCCTCCAGGACGTCTATGGCTTTCAAAGCCAACAGCAAGGGCAGTAGCTTCTTTCCACGCCACTTCTTGGATGTGATGATGGGCTTTACCATAGAGAGCAGGTCAAGAGAGTCTGCTTCACCCTTGGTCTTCTCGTTCTCCTTGGCCACGAGGATAAACGCGCGCAGCAGCACGAGGCGCGGTGCGATGTAGGCCTCTTCACACTCGGACTTAAGCACGGTCAAGGCATTGGCGATATAAGCCTTTTCACGATCCTCGGGGTTCGCAACATACATTTGCCTGTAAACATGTCAGTACTTCATAACAAACAGACCATTTCAGACTGGACATACCGTATGGTTGACGTGGCCAACGCCTCCAAGAGACGGTAATCCTCGCGCTCTTGGAGGATCGTCTCCGTTGACCCCTTCTCTTCGGACTTCTTGTAGATCTTCCGGACACACCTGCCAGCGGTCTCCAGGTCGTCGAACTTCATATCCTCGTAGAATGTGGGCCTTGACATGAGCTTGGTCATCAAGCTCAGCACAAGCGACCAATACTGAGCATCGACGTGCTTGGGCTTGTCCACAACCTTCTTGGACTGCGAGACCAGCCTCTTCATAGCGGATTCTCTTTGTTGCCTGGTCAATGCCTCCGTAGGCACCTCAAGCAAAAGTTGTATCGCGCCTCTCGCCACAATCAAAGACTCCGGGCCTTTAGGGTTCTCGATGAGTGAAACGGCCTTGTCAACCAGCCCACCAATAACCTTCTCGTTGCCGACAATGTTCTGATTCTCCAGAATCTGCTGGGCCAGAGCTTGAACGCTATCCAGAGTCCGGCTTTTGTCCTTTTCAGAAGAAGTAAGGGCGTTGAGTAGTGTTGGTGGGAAAGCAGACTGCTTCTTTGTCAGAAGGCTGACCAAGTGAGGGCATCCTTCAAGGATCCAAGTTGTGTAGGAGCTCTTGCTAACGGCACCCTTGGTATCATCGTTTTTGTCCAGCTTGTCAACAAACGAGCTAGTCAGAGCGGCTGCATCTTCATCGTCAGCAAGTCTCACCCAAGCCGCTGCGCAACACTTGAAGGCAGCGAAAACCTCAGGGGAATATGTTTCCGAACGCTTGAGCGTAGATTTCAGGTCCGAGTGAACGCTTCCCCAGACAGACTTGGCATCTGCTACCGTGGCCCGGCTGATGGCCTTTTCAGCAACAGTCCACCGAGCGGTAGAGATGACAGACTTCTCCTTCTTCTCGAACTTCTCCTTGGCGACGATCTCGAACGTGCGCATGTTGGCAGCATCGATGTATGCTTCCAGGGAGAGTGCGTTTGCGATAGCCGCAAGAATGACCATCTTGACACCCTTTTGTTTCGTCGTTTGTTCATCGATCCAGTTGAGAATATCAACCAACTGGCTGACAGTAAGAGATTGTTCAGCGGTTTTTGCGACAGCATTCGCTAGTTGGCTACTTGTCCAGGGGAACCCACTCGGCTCATTTTTATCAAGGTATGTGAGCCATGTCTTGATGAATCCTTGCAGATCACGAGCCCGAGCATGGCCATTGACGAGGTGGATGAGGAACTCGGTCGCCTTGTCGAAGTTCTCCTCCTCCCTCTCCCTAGTGCAGAAAGTGTGCGCAAGAGCCTGGTCGAGAAGCATCTGTCCGTCTTGAGTGACCAAGAACACATCCGGGTTAAGCTTGGCGATGGAAAGGTGTAGCTTCCAGTTGAGCTTATCCCCCTGAAGCCCGTATGCCTTGCACACGGAGCGCAAGCTCTCGGCTGATAGAGGGAGCTGCTGGTCGGCCGCCATTTCCAGGACAGCTTCAACAGCAGGTTGACTCTTGCTGATATCAGCACCCTTCAAAGCCGCCAGGATTCCATCAAATACAGCCTGTATCCACTCCTCATAATCCTTCTTTGTCGCCTTTTCGCTTAGCACGTGCGGTGCCCTAGTGACGAGATTGAAGAGAACAGGGTAGTTGGTAGAGGCGAAGTCGGAGGACATCTGGGTAGCGACTTGGATGACATCCTGAGCCCGGTTGTTCAGGAAAGCCGCTCGGGCAGGGAGGATCATGTTTCGTGTGAGGAAGCGGCGGAGGTCCCGAGCCCATTGCTCTTGTACGGTGGTGTCGATAGTAAGGGATGAGTGGCGCGGCGTGGCCGTCAGCTTGCTGAGGAGATGGGCGCCCAGGCCAGACAGCGAGACAGCGACGGCCGAGGCATCTTCAGGACCTTGGAGATGGAGGTCCCAGAGGGTGTAGAAAGTGGACATCCATGTGCTTTGTTCCTTGGACGACTCGAGCTCGTCACTCTCGGCGGCAAAGTTGCAGATGGAAAGGACTGGGACCAGCATCTGCATAACATCCGAAGCAGAGGAAGAGAAGAGCGACTTGATGTGTTCGGCACCCATACGGTTACTTGGTAGCCCGTCGGTTGACTTGATGTCGCATCGTGATAGAAGGATTCGAAGGGCTTCGAAGACAGCCTCGGCGGTTTGAAGGCATCCGGCAACCTGTTGCTGACTTGTGAGATCGAATTTCGCAGCTGTCGTCCCGTTTTCGTTTCCTCGAGTTCTTTGTAGTCTCATCTGATGTGGCGTCCTTCATCTCAACATCTAAGTCGCCCTTCTTGCCCTGCCGAGCCTCCCTCTGTGGTGTCGAGATGTCCTTGAGTGTCTGTTGCAGGACAGCAATGAATCGTCGATCGGCAAGCGACTTTGCTAGGGAGAAAAGCGGGATCCAGGCGAAGACTGCGCCCATGATGTTCCAGGATAGAGGAAAGCGTCGGACTTGGTCGTTGATGGCAGCAGATCCAGACATGTTCTTGAGGAGCCATCGCAGTAGCATTTCCTCGGCAGCATGGAAGCTACCTCCCCTGTGTTTCGATAATGTGTTCCATACTGTCTCAAGTCTTTGGCTGATGGCGTCGGCGCTGCCGTCGTCGAGTGCGCGGATGGTCTTGATGAGGGCGACCTCGCCTGTCTATGGGTGGTGGTGAAGGTGGTGTTAGTTGGAAGTGTTATGTTGGGGGTGGGTGGTGGTAAGCAGTCAATGTAAAACCCTGTTAACTTACCCTGGTCTCTGCGTTCTTTACACCCATTTTGAAGTAGAGATTGGGTATCTTAAAAGCCAAAATGCATGTTGCGACAAACCAAAGAGTGATGGTTGACAAAGTGTTAGTGGAAGGTGTAGCTGTGTTACTGTTGACCGCCCCAGCGCCATCTCCAAAATTTCCCAAGATTCTGCCGTCCCAATTCTGGCCGGGCCCCACTGTTGTCAGGAAAGTCAATTGCGCCAAGCCTGGATAGCTGGGCTGGCTGGTCACCGCCTTCGGGTGACGACGGAGACAGCCGAAGAAGGACGAAGGCACCAATTGGCACTTGCTGGGATCCGCAATCCGCTCGCCGGGCCTGGGAACATCTCCCGAGGGAAAATAACATCATCGACGTCTGCTGCTAACAGTTGAAGGTCCGTCGCTTGTTCATCTTTCTTTCGTCTACTGCTCCACCCTCGTTCCAGAGGTCACTCACTCGCTACCTTGCGCATTTACATTAGAGGTATGTTTGTTGTCTGTCATTATCTTCCATCTCAACTTACATCCAGCATCTATCTATTGTGCCCGCCTTAGCTTAAAGTAAAGGTAGAGGTAGAGGTAGAGGTAGAGGCAGCTGTCGACCAGCTATGCCCATGCTATGTCATAGCTAAGGTACAGCTACGGGCAGGACCTGTAGCTGCCGTGTCTCAGGTCTATCAGCTTAAGCGGCTTAACAGACCAAGCATAGTTCGCTAACAAGCGGCAACCAACCATTGATTGTGCCTCGTCCAACTTTCTCGATTTCGCGCGCGTCCTTCTGACTTCCTTGCCTGCAGAGAGCTTCAAACCACCCGACCCAAACCCACACATCATCACCATGTCCGACTCGACCTCTTCCCCCGCGGCTGCTCCCACCTCGAGCGCCATTGCGCGCCCCGTCAGCGAGGCCCTTCTCAACGAGAAGGTGAGCTTCCCTCCCATCGCACAATTGCTCCGGGCCTCGGACTCGAACCTCCCATCCCACGGCCTTGGGCGCAAAGCCCCGCATTGGGTCCCGTCTGGATAGCTTCATCTGTCTACGACTGTTGGGTCTGTCGGCTTGCTAACAAAAAGGTGTCAATTGCTAGTGGGACCGCTGCCTCTCCAACCTCCTCATCAAGTCCACCCTCGGTCTCGGCTTCGGCGTCGTCTTCTCCGTCCTCGTCTTCAAGCGGAGGGCGTGGCCCGCCTTTGTCGGCGTCGGTTTCGGTGCCGGCCGCGCGTACGAGGAGTGCAACAGCAGCCTGAAGCAGGCCGCCAGGGACATCCGTGCCCAGGCTTAAGTCGGTCAATTGAAGATGGGAGAGTAGGAAGATCAAAAAGGCTTGGTTCGGAGTACTCGGTGTTGGAGGAGACGGCGAATAGGAAAAGAAAGGGATGTCTTATCATTCTTAGGTTCGGGGAGAGCGAAAGAGACAAGAGACAAGAGACAAATGCTAGAGGAGTCACGATGCGCCAAAGACCAAGACCCAGAGACCCAGACAAAGGATACGGAGCCGCGGAGATTTCCCCCACCAGCAAGAGTCTACGATTATTCCCTTTGTGTGTACAACCAAAACGTTCAACGACATAGAGTAGGAGAAAGCCGAAAGAAAGATGGGCGTGGATGACATGCAATTGCTGTGGTTGTTCTTGTTCATGTGATGAGCGACTGACAGGAACAATAGACCAGTCTATATACTATCTACTACGTTGGCCCACGGGACGGGATTCTATGGAAAGCCTCGTAAGTAGCCAAGAGAGTGGGCTGCGATCACATTAAACCAGCGGACACTCGACGAGGGAATCAAGCAAAATCCGAAGCTCACTCGAGATAAACAGGTGGTTTCAGTCATGCCAAGTATCCAAGCACGGCACCCTGGCTTCAAGTTCTCACGAGATCTTAACACCAATAGCCTCCTTTCTCCGGGTCCTGCACTCCGTTCTGGTTTCCCAACCCAGAATAACCTCTGAGAACCTGCACCCAAGATCCACGCCTCCTCTCACTACCACCACCATCATCACGCTCCTCAATCCCATCAAACTTCCCTCCAAAATCTGTATTCAGCCCACTCGTCTTTCCAACGCCCATCTCAACATCCCCTTCCCTGGCAGTGGTCGTGGCAGCAGACCCCTTGCGTTCTCTGAGGCCAGCCTCGCCAGCACCGCCTGTATTAATCCCCCTCACCAACCCCATTGTGAAAGTATTGCTTCTCTTTCTCGTTGCTGTCTCCTGCTGGTCTTCAGGTACCTCCTCGACATGCTCCCCTTTTCCTGCCCCTATCCTCTTGAACAACGTCCCCAAGCTATTACTTCTCTTCCTCACCCTCTCCACCAGCTCGTGCGCGCCAGCAATGACAGCAGAGTTACCCCGGCTGCGTATACCCTCACCAACACCTTCATCCGCATCCTCATTCTCCCTCAAATCTTCTTCATCCAACCCCGATCCAGTCCCAGTCCCAGAACCAGACCCAGAAGAACCCTCCAGCCCATCTACCCCTTCCCCATCTTCCCTTTCACCCTCTTCCTCCCCCTCTACGTCCTCCCCACCCCTCAACCCCCTAGCCCTAGTTCTACTCCTCTCCCTCCAACTCCCCGGGCTCGTCGGACTCGTCGGGTCTTCTTCCCCAAAAGCCTCCTTCCACAAACACTTCTTCCCCTTATGTCCATGTCCATGACTCCCCCGTCCATCCAACTGAAGTCCATCCAACTCCCTCGGACAATTCTATCTGTGCCAACGCGAATGATGATACGCACAAGTCGAGCCCGAAGCTGAAGAAGACGAAAGGGAGAACCGCCGCCGACGCACGCCGACCCAGATTATCAACGCTAGTTGGGCCACTAGGATGAAGATGCCGAGGGCTAGGAGGGTGATTTCGTTGCGGGAGGCGGTGGTGGGGTGGGAGGTGGATCGGGAGGTGTTGATCCTGGGGCCGGTGTTGACAGTGGCTGAGATAGGGGTTGAGATGATGGCGGTCGGGTTGGTCATTGATGTGGTTGTTGACTTGATGGGGGAGGCTGGAGAGCTTGTAGTCGAAGCTGCCTCTGCTGGTGTGAAATCGTGAGTGGCCGGTGGGATGGTGACGGTGGTAGTAGCTGTGTCTACTCGGAGGAGGATCCTCCGAAGGGTATCGGTTGGTGTTGAGCATTGCTGGAGGGACGGTGATGGTGATGCTTGCGGTGGATGCCGATGGTAGTGAAGGTTTTGCCCGGGGAAGTGAATGAGGTTGAGGTGTTGATGGTTATGGTCCATTGTTGCAATGTTTTGGTGGTTGTTGTTGTCCTTATCCTCTTCCAAGGCTGTTGTCGTTGTCTTAGGAGGACAAGTGCTGCTAGGTCGAGAAGGTAGCACCATTCGTAGGCTGATTTATACCGTCAAATTTCCGTTGACAATTAGTGTCCTCGATAAGTACGTGTATTAGCCCTTCTCTGGGCGGTTGATGCTCGATAGAATTGATGATGGCTGGTATTTTCGGTGGTTTCTTCTGGTTTCCGGTGAGAGGCACGAGAAACTCAGGATGAGGTGTCGGCAGGGTAGCGGAGGAAGATACGCCCGATAACGATGCTTCATGAAAACAAACCGAGGGATGGCTGGTCTTTAGGGGTGAAAGAGTGTCACGATTCAAGTTGTTTAGGAGTAACAAAGGGCACAGTATCAAGCTTCAACATCGTATATTCTACTAGCGAAGTCTGTATGTCATCTTTCTTATATGCTACTGTGGGCAAGTTTTTGACAGTCTACATCATTATTCTTTCCTCCTCTGTCCGAGATTCAACAACCTGGGTCCTCCCACTCTCACAACGCAGAAACCAGAAGAGAAGGTGTGTACGAGCAAAGTGAACTCGGAACACGTTCGAGGTTATCAGACTTCAGATCTAGGTTCCTATGGCCGTATAAACGAGGAAGCAACAATCATGGATCATTTCAATTCCCGAGAAGACGAAACTCATTTTTCATGGAGGAATTTTGAATCCTTGTGTTGGAAGGTACGAAACAGACTCGCCCATATACCGAACCCTCTACTTGCACGGAGAAGCAATGCGGCCTTTAACCTTTCAGAGTTCGCTACTTCAAGACGTTGTGACTACAATCCCCGACTCTCGTTCATAGTATAGCACCGGCAGCAACACAGCTTCGATCAAATCGCAAGAATGTCGGATAGCCACTTCTAAGTCTAACTGGTCGTTCTCCATACTGGATATGTTCTATTTACCTTCACTTGATATTTAAGACCTAATCCGTGGCGCCCTTCAACCCAATCCCGTCAAAAACAAATATAAAAAAAATCTATGACAACCGTCAAGTACGTTACCCAGTTCTTCTCTCCTTGGAGACAAGGAGACGGGAACACTGCAGTCCGACGAACTGCTTACCGAATCTGACAGTCCCGGAACACCACCACTCTACTCTCATCGCCACAAAAATACATGGATAGTAATCTTAACCAGTTTCGAAGAAACGCCATCATTGAACAGCTCGGCGTTAAGGGATTGATTGGGTGAAGGTATGTATTCTTTACTTATTATTAGGCAGGTATCTTAGTCCGGGCTGTCTGATCTTTCCCTACCTCTATCTAGCGTCGGGTGCTTCCTGTCATGTTTGCTACCCGAGAAAATGCAGGAACTTTTTATTGGTAACACGAAAAAAGGATGGTGATTCCTTCTTCCCTTCTTGCTTCCCTCGTCCGTCCGCCTCGTGGCGATTATATTGCCTTATTGCCGTTTGGACGTTTAGCTTAGTTCCCTTCCTGTATGTCGTGCCACCTTTTTTTTTGCTGTGGTCCCCCCTTTTTGGACACACACCACACGAACGTTTGTTGTGAAATGGTAGGTCAAATTACGCCTCACTATTTGTAGGTAAGATGTGCGCAGGTTTCATATCATCATCACATCCGGTATCACGGGTCATCAGTAGATCATGGAATCATATTTTCTCTCTTTCAAGTTAATCGCGTTTCAATGTTGGTATTGAGTATGGTATAGACAGACAAGACAAATCCAACCGTTGCGTTGTCCATAGGAAACCCAGACCGCCATTGCTCCCTCCCTCCACGCTGCCTGCAAAACAAAAATAACACATCACACGAATAAACTTTCTTTGGAAAAAGCAGAAAAAGTAGAGTAAAAAAAAAAAGGAAAAGAGACCGTGCTTGTCTTGGTATATCGTTTGCTTCACACACGCGCGCGCCGCAACGTTTCCCGCCCTTTGGCTTCCCTTTGGTTTCCCTTTGCCTCTCTTTCAGCCAGAGGGGAAAATAGCGGAACGAAACGGGCGTCGCTCATCTCTTCGTCCGTCGTGGTTTTGATAACCCCTCCTCTTTCTTTGTCTCTCACTTCTCTACCCTCCTTCCGATTGGTAGCGACCTGCTTCGTTCCAGCATCCTTCTCCCGGAACCCATGGGCTTGAGTCCCACTACTTTCCCCCACACTGCCCATGAAAGAACACCCGAAATATGATTGAAAAAAGCACGCACGCCAAAAATCATTCATTTCTTTTGTTGAGAGGGGGTTTTCGCTTTTCCACGGCAGCCGCGGTGTCCCTGGGGAGAAAGAACAAGGTGAAAAGCGCCCGGTTAGGAGGGGAGAGAAAAGATGGGGGAAAAGAAATCGTACAGAACACCGATAGAGAGCAAAGACTCCAGGGTCGATGGGGAATCATGATTAAACAAAATAGTTAGCCCCCCTCTTGATGATGCTTCTCAAATGCAATTTCTCCAGGGACGCCCCGAGGTGTATGTAGAGCTTCATATCCTCTCGAGAGCCCACGCCGCCTCCATTAGATCATAATCTGGAGGCAGAAACTGTGGGCATGGGAACCAGTGGTATCGGTTGGGCGGCAACACTCGGAACATCGATCGGCGTCAACCGCTTACTCGACCTCATAGCCCCATTGACTGGTGAAAAATTAGACTGGGTTCAATGCTCAGATCAAACCGCAGAGACGCAGGTTCTCCTGGATAATGATATCTGTTTGCCACTGTTAGTTCTGGCCCTTGCTAGATCTCGGAGCAAGAAAACTCACCATTGACCGCAGCCATGACGAAGCGAATTTGTGTGGTATCCGTCGCGCAGGTGAAATGCGTGTAGATCTGCTTGGTCTCGTGCTGGTTCAAACTGACGAAGCGGTTGAGGATATAGTCGCAAGCGGCGGCGTAGTCATCGCCACCCTCGTAATCGGGGAAGTAGTTCTTCATCGGGCTGACGGGCAACTTCTCCTTGAACCTATCGATCTTGTTGAGGAAAAGAATGATAGATGTCTTGATAAACCACCTGGAGTTGCAGATGGAGTCGAACAGAGTAAGGGCCTCCTGCATGCGGTTGACGGTTTCATCTTCGAAAAGCAACTGATCGTACTCGGAAATGGCGACCAGGAAGAGAATGGTGGTGACGTTCTCGAAGCAGTGGATCCACTTCTTGCGTTCGCTACGCTGTCCACCGACGTCGAACATACGGTACGTAAGATCGCCAATAATGAAAGTCGTTTCCGTAATACCGGTCGTCTTGACACGCGATCGCAGAACATCCTGGTCGTTGGGCATATAGTCCGGCGCGGCGATACGGGCGATATTATCGAAGTAGCTGCGACAGCATGTTAGCTGTTGGAGACCAGAGCCTCCTCCATGAAGCGGAAACTTACTATCTTGCCGAGTCGTTCAGTTGGTACTCCCTTGACCTCTTAAAGCAGCTCTGGACGCCAGCGTCACTCCAAAGGGCTTCGATGGCATTGCCGACCTCAGGAGGCAGCACGTCGCCTTCTATTTGAGCGGGCTGCATAAAGATGGTCTGGACATGGTACTCGACGCGCTGGTCGGCCAGTGGCAACTCTAGGGACTCCATGGCCTCGAGGATGACGCGCATGGACTGCACAGTGTTGCTGAAGATGATTTCCTTGAACGACTCGCGCTCGTCGCGCGAGTAACCTCCTTCGTGGATAAGCTTCATCTGCTTCAAGATGGTCGACTTTCCGGATTCACCAGCACCTGCAAAGTATTGTCAGCTTCCGCGAGATCTGATTGGTGACCGAAGGATCCGGATCAGGGATGCGCCAGCAATCGGCTTGTCGGGAACATGACATACCCAGAAGAAGCATCTTGATCTCATTACGTTGTTGCATGCGATCCCTCTTGAGCTGGTTCTCGATCTCCTCGTTCCGGGCCTTGCCCTCCTTATCCTCTGTACTCATTCCGCAACCCATTTTGGCGACTTGTTGTAACTCTTGGCGATGATAGAGAGTGTCTGTTTCGTGATTCGGGGATTATTATCGACGGTCTAGTGAGGGTGTTCGAGGTTAGTATCAGAGCAATAATTGAGACGAACTTGATGTTGCGAGAGGCGATTTGTAATTGTAAGTGTTAGGGGCGAGAACCCCCTGGTCTCTGGGGGAGGCAATCCAGGCAAGATGGAGCTGGAGTCTCCGCAGCGAAAATAGCGGATGTCCTTCCAGAAACGCGCTAGAACCACCACCCCCGAAAACCTCGAGTCGCTGTCAAGGCCCCTATGGAAACCGCAAACGAATACTGAATAGAGACTCGATGGTTGATGCAATTTCGCAGGTATTGATTGTCGGGCATGGCAGCGCTCATTGAAACGAAGACCGATGCGATCGATGGGCAGCAAACAGAACAGCCTTTTAGGGCACGACGATGAGGCGAGCGAGAGGATATCATGGTGCAAAGGCGTGTTGCGTGTGTTGCGCTGGACTTGGAGTGCATGCGTGTTGCGAACCTACTCACTTTTTTGGCAGTATACCACGCAATTGTAATTAGACCTTCAATCAACCGCACTTGATTGGAAGGTGAGCGTCGGATCGGTTTGGTGCGAAAGGGAGAGACGGGGTGCAGCTCGATAATTAGATAGTCGTCGAGACCATACGATAGGGAAATGTCGCGAGAGTAGGTGGCCGAGAGTAGAGTTGCTGCTGAACTCTCTCAGCAATTCGCGGTTGCGGGAGGAAGGGTGTTGAGCCGGAAAACGGAAAACGAAAGGAAGGGAAAGATTGGGAATTGGTGGAGGGATGGGAGGTTGGCTTCTGTTAATGTGAGTCGGGGGGGTGCAAAGAGTGAAAAGGTGCGCAGCAGGCAACGGGGAGAGACAGGCCCGGCTACAGCAGGTGCACAGTAGACTCCGATTTCCAGTCCCAGTTCCATTCAGTGAATTTCGGGGGCAGCGACCCAGCAGAGACCCACCGCGCACTCTCTAAAGTGACATGGCTCCAGCCGCGATGGCACTCTGGCTAATCACAGGCTGCCGTTGCATGCATGCAAGTGGAGTAATGCAACAGACTGTCAGACCCTGGGCTGGCCTTGGGACGACGGGAATGGACTCCTCCTCGTTTGGATGCCCGGCCGACCATCAATGACCCATTTCGTCCGGTTTGGAACCTCTTTTTTTTGGTTCTAACACCGGGCCTTTGCCCTTGTTGATCTCCGTTTAGTCCGGTTTGGAACCTCTTTTTTTGTCAACACGGCTTTGCCCTTGTTGATCTCCTTTGCTTGCGACTGGCTGCCTTGCTCCTTGGTTCAACATTGCGAGTGGATGCTGCTCTGGGCTGCTGTTCATGCACCACATCGACTGTGGAAAGAGCGTAACATCGCCCACCCCCTCGAGACCCTCTCCGCTCCATCCATTTTGATCCATCTCCATCCGACATCTGCCCCTGGCCTCTAGTGCCATCCGTACCTGGCAGGAATGGAACCTCGACGGAACAAAAAAAACGGCGGACACCACTCGCTGGACACCATCAATCACCCTTTGCATTTCGACAATCGCCCTTCTTGCTCCAGGTCCTCGCTCCAGTCCGGCCCATCCCAAGCGATCAACCAAGGGGATGGCCACATGGCGGTGGACGAATTTACCCCAAGGCTGCCCATCCTGACCGTTTGAAATTTGGCCAGCCAAGAAACAGCCATTGTCGAATAAAAGTGTTTCCAGTTTTTTGTTTCTTGGCTCTCCTGACATGGCTCAAAGAGTGGATCACAAATCAAGGGCTTGGTCGGCATCCCGACGCGGCCATGTTTTTGCGCTGCATACTGGAGCCGTGTCGAGCCCCGTTTCGTCCGTACCTCCGGGTCAGGAACAGAAGAGGCTACTGTCTGCCCTGGCTACCCTACCCCGTACATACACTACCGACTACGTACATACCATACTACCATTCTACACTACAGGTGCAAAGTCACGGCGATTAATGGCATCTGTCAACACACTGACAGATCGAGTGATGGCAAAGACAGTATGTGGCAGTTGTCTGGTGGAACAGCCTCGCCCAAGAGACAGTGTCTCTCTTCTCCCACCTTTATAAGGTTGGAATCCACTGGCTTGTCACAGACTAGACTAGAACTTCACTAGCAACTCTGCCAGCGAGGATAGGGAAAGACCATGGGAATATTTTCAACACTCTGCTGGATTTCACCTGATGTACGGATTCTGTGTTTGTGGAATAAAGCTCAGCGATTGGGAAACGAGGCTTATGAGGATAATCCCCTTCTCATTCCAGCTACCCAGTCACTGAACCCTGATATGTCGAATTCGAGGTTGGAGAGTCACAATTTGTCCGTGGTCCATTGGACAGGCTCCGGTTAGAACATGATCTGGCACGGATACGGCGCCGATCCGACCACAGCACGGCAGAGCTCCGTGACACTCAAAGCCATGCCCGATACCCCTGGCCGACCCTGAACCGATCGACATCAGTTATCAAACGGCAGTCTCTGCCCCGGTGCTTCGGATCCGGGTCCACCACCGGTGCTGATGCGTCCGGTATGCGGCACGGGCAGCTGTGCGGTCTGATCCGATTCTACAAATGACAGTTCCGAAAGTGCCAGTAACGGGTTTGTCTGAAGGCAGAAGCGTACACACAGGTCTGCCCTATACATAATAGTACTATCGGACCGGAGAAGCGGCGACGACAACGCCTCAGAAAGCCTCTTTGACGCCTCTTTTTAGGATATCAGGGCTCCGGAAATCCCCAACAGCCAGAAGACCATTTTCGACTGATCGTGAGGGTACCAACGTTATACCAAGATGCAAATACCAAGATTCGAAGCCTGCTATAGGCCCCTGGACGAGGTTTAGACAGATTCTTGGGTTTCCATGTGTGCACCAAGGGCGGCACATGCATCTAACAAAGTGCGGCTTTGAAACGACAAGCAGATTAGCCGGGATTGACGATCCATGCGGCACCAAGGAGACATGTATCAGACACACCTCACTCGGCCTTTACACATGCTTCGGCTGAGGTCAATCCTGATAGGACGACAGGTATTCTAGTTGGGAACTGTGCCGACGAAAGGATGATGAAGTGTTTGCTTGACGGTTGAGCTCATCTTTCTCTCTCCCTTCCCTTCCCTTCCTTCCGCCGGCCGCGGTGTTGTTTGCTCACCTGTGGCTTTCGTACCGCCGCAACAACCGCAACCACTCACAGGGGAGCCTTCAAACCCGACACGAAGGACGGGAATGGATGGAACTGAAGGCTCGAAACGGACGGTTGTGGAAATCCGAACTGGAGATTCCCTTCTCCACATCAACCACGCCGATGCGCAAAGGCCATGCTCCTCCCCTGCAGCTGGGCCCGTTTGCGATGCCCCGTCTCATGTGATCAGCAAGGAACCGATTGTCGTTTTTTTTCCCAAACGAGCTCCACGCTCACAAATTTGGTGGATATGTTTGAAACTTCCTGTCGTGATCTTATGAACGGTCACGAGAAAGCATTACCAGAAAAAGGTGATGGGAAGACGTTCAAATAAGTTTACGATACTGATCACAAAGGACGGCCGGCCATGCCATTGTCAAGAACCAACACAATCAGCGGTCCGAACCCAAGACGAACGGCACAGAAACGGCAACCCGGCAGTTTCAAAGAAACCATAAAACACCCAACGTACGATTATTCCGGCAACCCTTTCTGTTTAGCGCAGGAATTTCCGTACCTTGATCACAAGAAAAGTGCCGGACCTCAAAGAACAGACGCGGCGCGCGAATTGCAATTGAAAAAAAAAAGAGTGAGAGCAGCCACCATCTCCACGCGGCAGCGGCCGAAAGCAACAGTCACACCATCCCGGCACGGGCGATTCTGTTTTATCTCTCTTAGGGTCCCATCTCGTCTCCATTGTCAGTTTTGGTTTGCTGTTCGCCAATCCCGCGATTTTCTCTCTCCTCTCCGCTCTTCATCGTATTTTCCTCACCTTCCGTTCCCTCGCTAAAGACTACTCTGGTCAATGAAGCACAAAGCCCGAGTCCTCTTCACTATTTGAGAAGCTTATGTTTCAAACCCGTTGAGATTGGATGTGTTCCTCCTTCGGTATCTATGCCTCGCGAAGCCACCCACCCCCCAAGCGAGGCTACTGTGTACAACGGTAGTAGGCAGGGTAGCGGAGAATACGGCCAGGCCAGTGCCCAGTACAGTACCTTGGTGAAAAGAGCTTGTCTCTTCGCAGACTTTTGGCCCGAAATTGACTGCAATTTCTGAAATGAGCAGACTAAACTCGTTTCTGGCTAGGGGGCTGACTCCATAACATTGTCAAGCGCGGCTATTGGCTGGAGCTTTGAACTCCACTTCTTTGCGATAATGTTAGCGTGCTTGTTTAGTCAGGCACCATGCTGCACAGGATCGCGACATGCATCGCTCTACAGTACGTAGCACCTGCTGAAGCTGGTGGGGGCCGACATCAAATCTCTTTCTTGGCTTCTCCCCTTTTTGGTGTTGGTTCCCTCTGGACCACCTCGCGATGGTGTCATCGTGTGGTTTCTAGCCTGGGAGCGCTGGAGTTTTTCCTCGGGCCAGCTCTTTTTCAGGCAATGTCTTCAGTGGGAGACATGCTACAACACCTGAATGACAACAGCGACAAGGACAAGTCAGATCAATTCGCTGCGCTAAACTCTGTCCTTTTTCGTCGCTTCAGACCGGAAATCATGCCAATCTTCCACTTTGCTTATTTCGTGGTTCTCATTCTTCCTTTCCATTGCCACGTTTTTTCTTGTTCCTTCATCGCCCGGCCCATTCGTCAATTTTCTCAATCTCATCATCCTCGCTCCCGCAAGTCGCAAGATTTGAGATTTCGGTTGTTCTTTTTCGGGTGTGGTTTCAGATCATGGCATGCCCATGGTATGTCGAACCCAGAACCAAGAGACCCCGAAGGATGGAAGCCGGGTTGTCATGGAATTTCAGCGATTTCATGGATCCTCATGGATCTACATATCTGTCACTTGTCGTTATTGAACATCCTTCCCCGGTTTTGGCCTTCGGGGTGACCGCTCATACGTACTCACAGCGAATGATTTCCGCTCTCAGTTTCTGTTAAAAGACTCGGTATCTTATCCCGCCATATCTCCCAACAGTTGAACCTCCACTTAAACCTCCCAAGGGATGTGCCACAATATCGCGGACAAGACGGAAGAGCGGGAGCGGGACAAACTGCACTGCATAGACATACAGTAGGTACATGTATGTAAGGTAGGTAGTGTCATCTCTACCATAACGTCCCGCCGTCAAACGGGAATAAAGAGGTGCCTTGTGCATGCTACTGGTGGATTATCCTGCATTCTGCATTCGTCACACCTCTTTGAAAGATTCCCCGCGTCGAGCGGAGCGTCTAACAGACAAACCAGACAGTGTTGCCGTCAGAGAGAGAAGATATTAAAGATGCAGAACCCGTCACCGTAACACAAGAGGCATCGAGCCGCTCGTCGTTCACTTTGGTACTTTTCAACGACAGGTTGGGGTCCAGTGGGCAACTATAAACGCTCCAAGCGAGTCCCCAGGTCGTTTACCGCCAACAACACCAAAGACAAAACTGATCTCTCATCTCATAATAGAAACGAAACATGTTCAAAAAAGAGAGAGCTGAGGTGTTGAAATGAAACAACACGGAAAGGCCGAGTCCGCATCTATTCATGATCACAACAGCTCCTGGCAAAACATGGCATCCCAACCCATCTTCCATCATCCTGAACATTCATTCCGGGCTCCCACATGCCACCAAGCGAATAAGCGAACCAAAGAAACAAGCAAAAGCCGCTAAACCCTGAAAAGGAGATATTCTAGAATCCGGTTTCGAAGAGTTCAAATACAAATGAAATGACACGCAAGAGATGATATATGACACACAACAACGGGCATCCGGGATCCCACACGCCCGCACCCACCTCGGGCCACGGACCATGGCAACCATGGTAACCACGGCTGTAATATTGGACAAAGACAAAAGGTCCAATAACCTCCATAAGGCACCGACGTTGATATAAGTGCCTCTTTTTTTCTTTTTTCTTTCTCGGGGGTTTTTATTCCGGGTTGGGTTCAATCTTCCAAGAACTTCCTAAAAAAGAGTTCGGCACGGCCGAGTGGCTAATTCAGCGATCGGTCGGTCTGTCAGTCGATCGGTTGCCCAGTTTTCTCAAAAAGACAAGAAAAGGAAAAGAAACAAAAGAAAGGTCGGGAAGTTGGGAAGCGACGAGACATGTAGCCTCCTCCAACCTCGCCTCACCACACCTCAATCTTCAGTCTTCTTCATTTGGTTTCATTCGGGAAAGAGGGAGGGAGTGAGGGGGGGTATGCTATTGGATCCCCAGATTACACTATCTTCGTGGGACATCACTCATCATTCAATCTCCGCACTACCATCTTCCCCAGTAAAAACGTGGCAAAAGTATACTATTCTGAGAACGGAAACAACAAGGAGACAAGGAGTTTCGAGATGGGTTGTGGGTTTGGGGGATATAGAATAGAACTGGGTGACGGTATCCTTGGGTAGAGGTATCTGGTTGACCTTGTCCTTGGTCTCCAGGTCCTGGGTTGAGATGTGTGAATTGATGATGGTGTTCACGTCGACTAACTGGATTACATGTCAGGACTACCTCTGAAGGCGCATGGGGCATTGATAGTAACGCCAGAGAAAGTGGTCCTCCTTCCGTTCCCGTTCATCGATGTCGCGGCTACTTCACTTTGAACGCTCTACACTAGAAACACAAGCCCCTAAGAAGGCTCGGATCCTCCAAGAGCATCAAAGCATTGTTGCACCACGCAAGAGCCTCCATCTACCGGCAAGAGACCGGGCCGAATAACGTTCCTTCGTTTGCAAGCATCCGGACATCCAGAGAAAGGAAAAAGAAAGGAAAAGCAGAACAAAAAAAAAAAAAAAAAAAAAAAAGAAGGCCGAAAAGATCCGTAGGAAAGCAAAACCCCAAAACAAACCCAACAAACAAACAACCACCATCGGCACTGGGCTCGCAGCTGAAGAGATCGGTGTTACCGGCTACCAGCCAGCCGGTGTAACCGTTTAAGCTGGCGGACAGGCTAGCGAGCTAACAGCTGGTGGTTCACTAATCACTAAATCAATGCAGCCAAGCAGCTGTTTGGACTTCAGAACTGGGCAAGCTGAGCGTGCTGAGCTAAGTTGCTAACAGCTAGGTTGAGTGAGGAGGCGGTGTTGTGATTGGCCAGACACCCCTCAATCGTGTCAATCATGAACCGAGGTTCGATTGAACGACACCACGAGAAGTGACACCACGGCAGTGACACTGCAACACCACGAACCAGTATGTGCATACACTTGATATGTTCACTAATCAGGAATTCTTGTGTTTTGAGAGCCACAACATTCAAGTATAGCATACATCACGACATCACGACATTAGAACCTCTTGTAGCGTTTCATCTCCGAGGCCACCGATAGGACGAGATAAGACGGATCAGACAAGGAAGATACATGCTACAGATAGACGGGAAGACGGTACAGAGAAAATGGGCGGAGGAAAGATTGATGTGTATATGGACATTGGTGAGTTCGTCGAACCTGAATCGGGACTTATTATAACCCTCTTCTACCAGCCTGTCGTACCTGGTCTCAAACTAGGACCGTGGCTGTACATTTCATCGTCATCGTCATCGAACCAAACGACTAACACAGACTTGACTTCAGTGTCTCTATACAGCTACCTAGCCTTCCTAGATCTTCAACGAAACGGTGAACTTCTCAAGGCACACAATGTAGAGGTCGAGTGAGTCTCTCTCCTCTCTCACATCTCCAAGTCTCACAAGGAGGAGCATCCTGACTCTGGTGATTACTCAACTCAACTAACCACCTATCCTCTCTCACTCCAGATTCCATCCGGTCCTTTTGGGCGCCATCAATGTCGGCTCAGGTATGTTCCAAGTTCAAACTCACCCCCATCTCTTCCTATACTCACTTCGATGTTTATGTGATCAAACGGCTGACGAATCAACCCAAAGGCAACAAACCGCCCTGGACCCTCCCCGCCAAAGCCATCTACGGCGCTCACGATGCTCGGCGGTCCATCGCTCGGTTTCCGGGGGTGGTGATCCAGACGCCGAAGGATTTGATGGCTGTTTCAAAAACTATTGTCGTATGTGTCATTGGTCCCCTTACTCCTCCTCTCACTCACTTCCTACCTCACTTCCTCATCTCCTCATTTCCTCACCTGATCAGCTCTCACTCCCTGTCATGCCACGCCTCTCCCATCTATCCAGCCAGTATCTTCCTGGAAAGCATTGAACTGAACTGAACTGAACTGAACTGAAAACTAACACCGAGAAAAAACCAGCCCAACCGCGCCCTCCACTTCATCAAAGCCCATTACTCCCCCTCCACCTTCCTCACAGCCCTCCACTACCTAATGCACCTTTTCTGGTCTCCTCCCAACTTGAACCTGACGTTGCCCGAAAACGTCGCCAAGACGTTGCTCGAATGCCCCGCAGATTTCTCTATCCCTGCCCCCACCTCCTCTCAACGTGGACAAGAAGGAGAGAAGAAGGGCGGCGAGAAGAAAATGTTCACAAAACAACAGGTAGAAGAAATCATGAAGGGGACCGAGACCAAAGAGGTCAAGGATGCTCTGAAGAATGCGACACAGGAGGCGTTGGATAAGGGCGCGTTTGGGAATCCGTGGTTTTGGGTTACGGACGACAAAGGGAGGGGGGAGCCATTTTTTGGGAGTGATAGGTATGTTCTTTTTGTTCTTGTTTCTCGTTTCCTCCTTTACTTTTTTCTTTTTCTCTTTGTTGTCGTTGCTGTTTCAGGATCTCTCGATCACTCAGTCCTGATTATGTCTCTTCGTCGGAACCTGGGAGTCAGGGGTGTCATGTCTGCGTTGGTGGAATGGAGGGAGTTTGTGAGTGTGAATAGGCGGTGGGGTGTGGTGTGGTGTGGTGATGGTTGATCGTTGACTGACCGACTGACTGACGTTTGGCTGACAACTCGAAAAACAACACAGATTCCATTTCATCTACAAGTTTCTTGGTCTGCCCTTCCAGGACGTCACGCTTTTGCCTCCCGGTGGTAAGGCCAAGTTGTAATGGGCTTGGGGCAGGAACTGGGCTACCCGCTTGGGGATTATGAGATGACTGCCTCTTGTTTCAATTCATCGGGCGTCTTTCTAACCACGACATGGACATATTCTTCGTCAAGCTTCACAGCCTCAAAATATTTGACAAGAGATAGATGACATGTACCCATCAAACGCTCTTGGTTGGCTGTTTCAGATTGGGCGTTCAAAGCAGACAGTCTCTCCTCGTCATGTTGTCTCACCATGGAAAGATACTTCTGGATCTAACTCTGAGAAGAAGCCGGTCCTTTACTTATACCGACGAGAAACAAATCCGAGATAGTCGAATCAGCTTTCACAATACATATCTGGGTGTAGTTTGCGTTGTAAACGAATCCAAAAAGGTTGTGTTGGTGATCCATGCTAGCGGCTGGTAGTATGTCTCCACCAAAAAAATCATCGTGGAAAAAGATTAATCATTCGACGTGGGCCTGATTCGAACAGACGCTCCCGAAGGAACAAGATTTCTAGTCTTGCGCGTTAGACCACTCCGCCACCACGCCAGTTGATGATTGATTGATGGTTACCTGCTAAGGAAGTTGGGATTATGAGCCAGACTGGGTGGTGCACTGGTACAAACTGCCAAATGTTTTTACCAATGCTCCTTTGGAGTCAAGACCACTGTGTGCCGTAGCAACCGTAGGACGTTTTGATAGTTGGGAGTCCCTAGGATCATGCAAAGTTGTGCTTCTCGTCGTATCGTCGAGGCGTTGAAGAAGTTCTGGTATTGGAAGTGGGTATCTCTATTTTGAGGTCGTGAAAAAAACATCGACAGTGTTGCATATTGGGCTCTTCCCAAGCTGTTTGGGCAAAGAAGACGCCATCCAAACAGCAATATAGGAAAGCGGCAAAGGACAGCTGGTGATCGATCGTGACACGCTCACGTCTTCCCCGCTTGCGCCATCCTCGCTCTCCTCGCTTCCTCCTCCCTGCGCATCTCACTCCTGGCCAAGAAATCCTGCCTCGCAGCAAACGAGTCCTTGGACTTGCCCGCCAGCTCGAGCTCGTCCTTGAGGCCCATCTTGTCGACCGCCACCGCCCAGTCCATCTTGCTCTTCTCGACCGTGTTGAGCTTCTTGGCCTTGTCCTTGCCCGTGGCTTCGCGAGCCTGCAGGCGGGAGGCCATGCTCAGGTTGAGATCGGAGCGATGCGCCGAGTTGGCGTCGGTAATGGGCTCGAAGACGGACCGGAAGGCTTTTCGGGGCATGCGCTTGGTGCTAGAGGATTCGTCCTCCGCGGCTGGTTCGCCTCCGTCGGCGGCTGCAGCGTCCATTCCATCTCCGAAAGAGGCGAGGTAGAGCTTTGCTTCGGCGGAGTCCCGGGCAACGAGCTTCTCTTCGGTGTGAACTTTGCCAGCGAAGTTGTAGGTTCGCTTGATCTTTATAAAGTCGGATTCGGGATCTTTCGATTTGCCTGGTTCTGGCTGTTGGGAGGATGATTTCGTGCCATCGCGGTTTGCTGCGTCGGCGCTTTCGTCTGGCTTCGTTGAACTCGTCTGTGGTATAACCGGCTCGCTGATCATTTGCGCCCAGAGGGCATCGATGTCGACTGTAACCGGTCCGCTCGCGGCGGCTGTTGAACGCTTCTCCTTTCTATCGTTGTCGTTAGTGGTCCGGATCTTAAGACACAAGGTTTGATGTGCAAACGTACTCAACAGCACGCTGGCTGCGCGTCTTGATAAGGCCGCCCTCGCCAGTCTCCTCCTCGCCGGCAACATCTTTTGCCTTTGCTTTCTTTTGTCGTTTCTCCCCCTTCTTTATTATTGCTTCATCTCCAGAATTGTCGTAACCGGCATCTTCCGCCTCGTCAACAACGGCGCGTTTCCTCTTCTCGGGTTTCGATTTCTCGGTATTGTCACCGACTTCTTCATCGCCGTCGTCGTCGGATACTGATGATTCCTCGGCGGCTTCAGCAGCTTCTGGCGCGAAGTCGGAGTCTTCCTCTGACGCGTAGTCCTCCGCGAGGAGTTCCAGGGTTGGCGGCATTTCGGTGTCTTCGTAATGTAACAGTCTGGTCTTTTTTCAAGCTTGTCGCGTCTGTCGCTCCAGGAAAGGTACCTATCCAAAGTATCGTAATTCGGAATACCAAAGTGGAAAAAATGATGACGGAAATAAAGAATCCATGTCATTGTCCGATCGACTGCAGCGTGACAGTGGAACACAAACGCTCTGTTGGCAACCAATAGGGCAGCTTGCCGTCATGTCAACCACCTTTCGGCTCAAGCTCCCCCGCAGCACGCCCACACCTTCCTTGGAGTCCCGCTGGAAACTCCCCGCAACCGGGAACGTCCAACGAGCTTAAAGTTATCCGATGACAACCTCGAGCCGGTCCGGTTAAATCTACTGTGTTCCCTTGGTTAAATCTACGGTGTACTTGAGCCCATAATACCCATCTATGACCAATGCCTTCCAATGACCGCGGAAGAAAGGGCGTAAAGAAAAAGGACCGCTGTATTTTCGTGAACGTCTTGCAGAAGGCTCGGGTGCTTGGGAGCGCATTCCCGTCAATAGTTTTGGGGATAGTTTGGGGACGAAGAAAACGAGGACACTCAACTGCCCCGATGAGCCCAGCCTTTGGTGATGTCCGACGGCGCAGGAGGAAGCCTCATGGCCCGTGCCACTTAGAGGTTTTGCTGCGACTTTTGGCGTAGGCACCGCAGATTTAACCAAAAGACACAGTAGATTTAACCGGCTCGCCTCGAACTCACGATTATCGTCAACCGCACTACTGGGACATCCTCGAAAAGGTCACTATAACGAAAATGGAACGCCATTGATGCCGTACTCCCCGATAGAACTGGTGATACCCAATAGAATATTTCTGGTTAAACGAAACCTCCCCGCCGGTTACACGTAGCCTAGGACGCATACGAAGCAAGGATGGATTACCTAGCTGCCTCGTGGCGCAATGTGAGCCGACGTTCCAGTCGGAGTCCGGAGTCGTGATGATGATCACTTGAATAGCTTAGGTTGGCATCCGTCGGTATCTCGAGACGAGTATATATAAGGGTAGAGAGAGCTCGTCAGCCCCGTGAATCCATAGTGTTGTTCTTCCAAAGACCTTTCGCTATTCTCTACAGCATGTGTCCGAAAGATAACATCACACTCAACATGTCATCATCATCTGCTCTGAGTCTCGAAGAAAAGGAACAATTCCTTACCCATGGCTGGGTCAAGTGAGTGCTATGCCAGAATACTAGCTGGTCAACCTCATTACTGACAATCCATCCCAGGATCCCGGCCGCCTTCACCCAACAGAGGGCACAGGAGATAATCGCCAATGTCTGGACGAGATTGGGCATGGATCCAAACGACAAGTCCACCTGGATCAAAGAACGTGTCAACATGCCCTCCCATGTCGACTTCGACGCTGCAGAGTTTGCTCCCCGCGCCTGGGCAGCCATCAGCGAGCTGTGCGGCGGTGAGGACAAGATTGCTGGCTGGTCCAAGAAGTGGAAGGATTCCCTTATCGTCAACCTTGGCACTCCTCAAGGAGAAGGAAAGCCAAAGCCTCCACAAAAGCTGGACAACTGGCACGTCGATGGTGACTTCTTCGTCCACTACCTTGACAGCCCGGAGCAGGGTCTGCTCGTCATCCCGCTCTTCACCGACATCATGCCCGAGGGCGGCGGTACCATGATCTGCCCGGAGGCCATTCCTATCCTCGCCAAGCACTTGTACGAGCATCCCGAGGGTGTCTCTCCACGCATGGCACCCCGCGGTGATGCCGAGTTCAAGCAGGAGCAGCACCTCAATTGGTTCAACAACGTGGCCAAGAGCTGCAGCCACTTTGTCGAGGCAACGGGCAAAGTTGGAGACGTGTACCTGCTTCATCCGCTGATGCTGCACTCGGCCTCGAGCAACGCAAAGAGAACGTCCGCATTCATCACCAACCCACCAGTAGCCGCTACAAGCAGCCCTTCAACTTTGATAGGGAGGACGGTAACTATTCGCTCGTGGAACAGGTAACATTGCGGGCCCTTGGAAAGGACCGTCTGGACGGCTGGAAGATCACCAGGCCAAGAGAACAGATCGTACCGGAGAGAGTCAGGATCCAGGAGAGGATGAAGCAGGAGGAGTTGGCGAGGTTGGAGGCGTTGAAGAAGGCGGCTGAGTCAGGAGCATTACAGGGTTTACAGGTGGCGGCATGATGTTCGTTAAAACGTGTGTGTTGGTAAACGATGTGTAGTACGGCCGCTTATATCCATTCAAGTCGAATTGAAGAATGTTGGAGAAGAGAACACGATGGCCGGCAATTTATCTTCAATTTGTACACTGTAACATCCGGGGGTAGCGTCACAGCTCCCGCCTGTCTGGACCCTGGAATGCACGCCAAGAAGCAGTGGGGCTGTTTAGGCAACTTGATGATCTCAACGTCTGACCAGAAGACTCGTCCGAACACTTTTTTGCTCCTTACAACCAACCAACTCTTCCCGTCTCCTTACCGGCATAATGAGCGATAGCGACAGTGACGACTACCTGGTCGAACAACCACAACTTGCCCCAGATGACCCATTGCGCGCATATGTGCCGTTGTCGTTCGGCGCAGCAAGCAAAGAAACCAATATCGCGGCGCAAATAGAGAGGGCGAGGCGACAGGTAGAGACACCAGCAGCGCCAAAGAAAGCCGACCGCAAGAAGGATGACGATAGTGACAATGACAGCGACGATGATGATGATGACGACGACTCCGAAGACGAGAGCGACCGATTCCCCGTATCCCACGAACTTGTACTCAAAACACACGAGCGCGCCGTGACAAGCGTGTCCTTGGACCCGGCCGGCGGACGACTTCTTACCGGTTCCCTCGACGGGACAGTCAAGCTTCACGACTTTTCTGCCATGACACCAACAACACTACGGGCCTTTCGGAGCGTCGATCCGTGGGAGGGCAAGAAGTCATCAGCCACCACTGACTCGCACCCGATCCAACGCGCCGAGTTCTGCCCTACCTCGGGTGGCCACTTTCTATGCGTGACAGCACACCCCCAAGCTAAGATTATGTCGAGGGACGGCGATATCTTGACAGAATTTATCAAGGGCGACATGTATCTACGCGACATGCACAACACAAAGGGTCACGTTGGAGAGATCGCAACAGGCACATGGCACCCCAGCGACCCCAACCTTTGCGTCACCGCTGGCTCGGACAGTACACTACGAATTTGGGACGTCAACAACAAGAGAAGCCAGAAGGAGGTGATAGTCTTCAAGTCGAAAGCTGCGGGATCGGCTGGTCGGACAAGGATGACATCGGTGGCATGGGGAGCCTCTGCCCAGGGGAGCAATCCGGTCCTTGTGGCGGCCGCTCTGGATGGTTCGCTGGTCATGTACAGCGGCAACGGTCCCTTCATGCGACCATCAGCAGAGATTCGAGAAGCACATAAGCCAGACACATGGACAGGCGGCATTGATATCAGCGCGGATGGAAGAATGGTGGTTACAAGAGGAGGTGACGGCTTGATCAAACTGTGGGACACGCGCAAGTTCAAGGAGCCTCTCGTCAAGGTCGAGCACCCGTCAACATCGGATCGCTACCCTATGACCAACATCCGATACTCTCCCGACTCGCGATCGATCATTACCGGCTCCGCATCCGGCCACCTCCACATTCTCAACCCGGGCAACCTCAGACCCGAACTCGTTACGCCCATCACGCCCGGCGTTCCACTCATCGTCGTCAACTGGCACCCCAAACTCAACCAGATCATCACCGGTTCCGCCAACGCCGAGACCCGCATCCTCTTCAACCCCGAAAAGTCCTTGCGGGGTGCCGTCGAAGTCATGTCCCGCGCTCCCAAGAAGCGGCATATCGATGACGACCCCAACCTGACTATGGACTCGAGCCTCGGCCTCTCCGCCGACTCCATCATCACTCCCGGCGCCTCGGTACCGAAACCCAAGGGGGGGAAGCGCGGCGGCGCAGGCGGCCGCGGCGTCGGAGGAACTAGAGGTCCTCAGGTGCAGCAGATCACGCCCTTTATGCGCAGCCAGCCGGACGAGAAGCACATTTCGGAGAACATCCCGCTCAGCAAGATGTTGCACGAGGATCCCCGCGAGGCGCTTCTCAAGTATGCGGAGGTGGCCAACAAGGACCCCATGTTTACCAAGGCGTGGAAGGAGACGCAGCCGGTTACGCAGTATGCGGATGTTAGTGAAGGAGAGGAGGATGGGCCGGATAAGAAGAGGGTTAAGCGGTGATTTTACTTGACGTTAGTTATATATATGTAGATGATACCCTTTCAAAAGAGCCTGTATCGATATACCAGAGTGAGGGAGCCTAGATTAAGCAGAATAGCACGATCGTGGTTGTTAATGAGTTTTGATACTAACATGGCCAGTTAGGCCAACTCGGTGCCCATGCCTATCGTTGTTTGTGCGAGCCACAGAATACGTGCCATGTGGATACCGTAGGAATGTCCTCGGGGCTTGTTTACATCCATTCAGGGGCACGATCCGGTCCTGTTGCCGCTGTCTCCAAATGCCATTAGACAGGAAAACCTCTCTGTTTGCGGTGACTCGGCCAAGACAATGGGACTATGAGACTAGAACCTTCTGCATAAACGCTTAGGCTAGTTCTCTTGGGGGCCAATGGCAAATGCGAGGTCCATGCGCTCAATCTTGAGGCAGCGATTGGATTTCCTGATGTTTGCTTTGTCGCTAATTCCTGAACGGCTAGACTGCTGCACAAGTCAGGGATGGAGTCGAATGCGTGAAACCTGATTGAGTTGCAAAAAGCGGCCGAGCGCTGCCTTACGTAAGCTTTCCCAGCCAGATTTTGCACGTGGAGCCTCTGGCTGAACACGAGCATTAGCCACTTGGATCCACTTTGCCAGCTCTTGCCGGGCAGGCAGGCGAGCTGGCACTGGATGCTGCCACCCGACTCCCTGTCTGCTGTTTCTGCCTGTTGGCTCTGCGCGCGCTCCAGTCTCACGTCGCCCGCCCGCACCCGCTGAATGTGTCTGTCTGTCTCTCTGCCGACCTGACCGACCGTGACCTCTCTCCATCACCTACTTTCCAACCAAGCCAGTGGACGCGAAGGCTTGTGCATCAAAAAAATCACCACTTTCCCCTGCGACTCATTGAGGCCATCAGGAAACCGCCGACAAAAAACGGGACCACTCAATCCCCGGCGCATCCCACTCGTACCCGGCCACCACCCCCAACGCGCCGTCCGCGATTGCCATTCCGGCTTTTTTCCTTCCATCTTGTCCGACCTTCAGTCAGCAGAGGTCATTCTCACCCAAGGGAGGCCTGCCTCTATCTACACTCTACAGTGCACTCAACCACCACCAGTCTACCCTCATTTTCCCGCCCCGACTGTCCGCCTCTTTCCCCCACTGCCACTGCCCACTCTACTAGTACCAGGTTTTGGCTCTAGTCTTTTTGCAGTGCAACTGGAGGAATCTCTTAACAATTCCTGGTCGACGTTCGCAGAGTCCATCCCACCGACAATCGACGCAGCCACTCAATATTGGGATATTAGATTCCACTTTGGACGGCAACCACCCACCACTACCATCATAACCGTACAGCAAAAAGATTCTCGAATCCAGATAGTCTTTTAGAACAACGGGTTTTGAACTGGACCATCTCGCTTCACCACCCATCCTGTCCGACAACGACGGCTGAACTACAGGAGAGGTCGATTAACACCACCGCCCTCAACGTTCGGTGAAGCCACCCTTGCTCGTTGCACACACCTCAACGACGCGATCCGACGACTGTCCACCGCGCATCGTCTAATCCGTCGTCCGGACTTGTGCATACCGCTCAGACAAGCATTGCCGCATCTTTGCATTCTTGCCTATTCATTACCTAGTAATTGCAGTCCATCCCTAGGACGCGCCTTTCACTCTTTTTTTTTTTTTTTTTCGCTTCACGACACGTCCTGGTCACGTCCACCAAGCCGTTTTCGCGACGCAACCCCACTGCGACTATCGTCGTCCATGGATTATGCGCCGACGGTGACATCTGCCGCCAGCCATTGAATTCAATTTTCTCGACGGTCTCGATAGCCCCGTCAACATCTCCTCTTTCCCGCTTCCACCATGGCCAGTGTCCAAATGCCTGCTGCCGTTGCGCAGCACCCGCAAATGGTGATGGCTGCCAACATGAGCGGCCAACAACTTCAAGAAGTCTATGCGGTATGTTTTCCTCTCAGTCGCATCATGACATTCCAATGCGATCTTGTGATGACCTCAAGCTAACTTCCAACAGCGCTACCAGCAGCTAAAGAAGCAGGGCGTCCCTCAAAACGATCCCGAGTTTATGAAGCTTCATAACATCATCCTGGCCGTATCCCGCAGACAGCAGCAACAGCAGCAACAACAGCAGATGCAACGGCAGCAGCAGCAACAACAACAACAACAACAACAACAACAGATGGCAAGCGGTGCTGTTAACGGAGGGCAGCCTGGCCGTGGCCCCGGACCCCAACAGACGGACGGTGTCTCTGGAGGTCAGGTTCCTAAGACGCCTGCCGCTAAGCCTGTAGGTATGCCAACCGGCCAGCCGCAAGGAAGTGTTCCCTATACCAAGGCTCAGATTCAGCTCCTCAAGGATCAGATAAAGGCTTTCCAGGCGCTAAGTCGGAATCAGGGTGTACCGGCTGCCCTCCAAAAGCAACTTTACGAATTCAGAGCTCGGCGTAACTCCGCCCAGGTTGCGCAAACGGCTTCCAACGCGTCCGCTTCTCAGACTAACTCGAGTACACCAACCCAAGAGGCCCCTAAGACCGGCGGTCCCAATGGTCAGGAGGAGGATGATTCAACACCAAAGGCGCGCGAGCTCAAGACGGTCAAGTTGCCACTAGAAGCTGGCCTGGTTAAGAACAGCATCAACTATCTCGAGCATGGGCGCCGGAAGAATCGCCTCATCATCCCTGGCATTTTCCCTACGGGTGTCGATTTCGAGCAGCTGAGGGCGGACCGTGAGAAGATCGTGTTCAATCGCATGAGCGCTCGTTATGCCGAGCTCAAGAGCCTCCCGGGTAACCTTGCGCATTGGGACACGAGCAAAGATGAGGTCGTCGCCGATGACACGGCTAAGCGCAAGGCCATTATCGAAATGAAGAAGTTGGCATTGTACTCCAAGCAGCGAGCACTGAGGGATAGGGTCGGGAAACAGATGCTCCACTACGACAACCTTGCGATGACGACAAACAGGACAATGTACCGCCGCATGAAGAAGCAGAGTGTTAGAGAGGCTCGTGTTACCGAGAAGCTTGAGAAGCAGCAGCGTGACGCGCGCGAGAACAGGGAACGCAAGAAGCACGTCGAGTTTCTGCAAGCGGTCCAAAACCACAAGGTGGAGATACAAAATGTCGCCTCGATCCAGCGTAACAAGCTGCAAAAGATGGGTCGTCTCATGTATGCGCACCACTTCAACATCGAAAAGGAGGAGCAGAAGAGGGTGGAAAGGACAGCCAAGCAGCGTCTGCAGGCCCTCAAGGCCAACGACGAAGAAGCTTACCTCAAGCTGCTCGACCAGGCCAAGGATACCCGTATTACTCACCTTCTCCGCCAGACCGACGGGTTCCTTCACCAGCTCGCCTCGTCAGTTCGTGCGCAGCAGCGCGAGGCCGCCGAGCGTTATGGCGACGACGTGCAGGGCATCCCAGAAGAGGAAAGCGATGTTGACGAGGACGAGGAAAGTAACCGGAAGATCGACTACTATGCCGTTGCGCACAGAATCAAGGAAGAGGTCACGGAACAGGCCAGCATTCTGGTCGGTGGCCAGCTCAAGGAATACCAAATCAAGGGTCTGCAATGGATGTTGTCGCTCTACAACAACAACCTCAACGGTATCCTGGCCGACGAAATGGGTCTCGGAAAAACCATTCAGACAATCAGTTTGGTCACGTACCTCATCGAGAGGAAGCAGCAGAATGGACCATACCTCGTTATTGTTCCGCTCAGTACGCTCACCAACTGGAACCTCGAATTCGATAAGTGGGCGCCATCCGTCTCCAAGATCGTCTACAAGGGTCCTCCCAACACCCGCAAACTGCACCAGGACAGAATCCGTCGTGGTGATTTCCAGGTCTTGCTTACGACATACGAGTACATCATAAAGGATCGTCCGCTGCTGAGCAAGATCAAATGGTTCCACATGATCATTGATGAAGGACATCGTATGAAGAACGCTAACTCCAAGCTGAGCGCTACCATTCAACAGTTCTACAGCACCCGATTCCGCTTGATCCTCACGGGTACTCCCTTGCAAAACAACCTTGCCGAACTGTGGTCCATGCTCAACTTCGTTTTGCCGAACATCTTCAAATCAGCTAAGACTTTTGATGAATGGTTCAACACTCCTTTCGCCAACACGGGTGGGCAAGACAAGATGGAACTCACAGAAGAAGAGCAGATTCTCGTCATTCGTCGTCTACACAAGGTGCTGCGGCCCTTCTTGCTGCGTCGTCTCAAAAAGGATGTCGAAAAGGATTTGCCGGACAAGACGGAAAAAGTCATCAAGTGCAAGTTCTCGGCCCTGCAGCAACGTCTGTACAAGCAGATGGTCACCCACCAAAAGATTCTTGTCAGCGACGGCAAGGGAGGCAAGACTGGTGCTCGTGGTTTGAGCAACATGATCATGCAGCTCCGCAAGCTCTGCAACCATCCGTTTGTGTTTGACGAAGTCGAGAACCAAATGAACCCCACCAACACCAGCAACGACTTGTTGTGGCGAACGGCCGGTAAGTTTGAGCTTTTGGACCGTGTGCTGCCCAAGTATAAGGCAACGGGCCATCGTGTCCTGATGTTCTTCCAAATGACCGCTATTATGGATATTATGGAGGATTTCCTCAGGTTCCGCGGCATTCAGTACCTCCGGCTTGATGGTACGACCAAATCCGAGGACCGTTCCGAACTCTTGAGGCTTTTCAACGCCCCTGACTCGCCTTACTTCATGTTCCTCCTGTCCACTCGTGCTGGTGGTTTGGGTCTCAACTTGCAGACCGCCGATACCGTCATCATTTACGACTCGGATTGGAACCCCCATCAGGATTTGCAGGCTCAGGATCGTGCCCATCGTATCGGTCAGAAGAACGAAGTGCGTATCTTGCGTCTTATCAGTTCGGCCTCGGTGGAAGAAAAGATCTTGGAGCGTGCAAGATTCAAGCTTGACATGGACGGAAAGGTCATTCAGGCCGGTCGCTTCGACAACAAGTCATCCGAAACCGATCGTGATGCCATGCTCAGGACTTTGCTTGAAACGGCAGACATGGCGGAGGTTGGCGAGCAGGAAGAGATGGATGACGAGGAACTCAACATGATTCTGGCCCGTAACGAAGACGAATTGGTCACATTCCAGCAGCTTGACGATGAAAGAGCTCGCGATCCGCTCTACGGTACGTTGCCGGGTTGCAAGGGTATTCCTCGCCTTATGGCTGAGAAGGAACTACCCGATATCTACCTTCAAGACGGCAACCCGATTGAGGAAGAAGAAGCGGTTTCTCTCGGTCGTGGAGCTCGTGAGCGCACAAAGGTCAAATACGACGACGGTCTCACAGAAGAGCAGTGGCTCATGGCGGTGGACGACGACGACGATTCGCCGGAGGCCGCTGCTGCCCGTAAGGCAGCTCGCAAGGAGCGCCGTGAGCAAAACAGGCTCAAGAAGATGGCGATCATCAACAGTGCTGGAGGTTCCGTCGGCGATATATCACCATCGGTTAGTCGCGCTAGCACTGAGGAAGCGGAACCTATCCCGACACCTAAGAAGCGTGGCCGCAAGCCTGGTAGCAAGAATCTCGAAAAGCGCCCAAGAGAGGACGGTGATGATGAACCTCCTGCCGCCAAGAAGCGTCGCGGACCCGGTGGTCGGCCCAAGGCTGTATCAAACGGGGATGGCCGCATCTCCGGAGAGATGCGCACTAAGCTGCAGCAGAGCATGAGGCGGATCTACGATGGACTGATGAATCTCGAAGTGGAGGATGATGCGCCCGAGGAGAACCTAGACGGCGATAAGGACGAAGACGAAGGCCCGCCTACCAGGCTGATCATCGGTCCTTTCGTCAAGCTGCCACCTAAGCGTGAATGGCCGGATTACTACCTCATGATCACGAACCCGATCTGCATGAAGGACATCGAGAAAAAGATGAAGAAGGAGGATTACCACTCGCTTTCGGATATGCGGAAAGACCTGGAGCTGCTGGTGACCAACTGCAGGACGTTCAACGACGACACATCTATGATTTTCATGGATGCAAACAGGATAGAGGTATGTTGTTCCCGCCGCCTATCACTTACATAACAGTTTACTAACGTACCATGTCTCAGGCCCACTTCAAGGCTCATTTCGAAAGAGAGCTGAACGAGCACCCCGAACTCCGCACCCTCGAGGATCCCTCCTCGTCGTCCTTCTCCGTAGGAGGACTCTCAACAAAGGACGGCTCAGTCGCCCCCTCCACCGTTACCAACTCTACCGAGACACCTCAGCCATCGTCGGCACCTGCCGTGCCAGCGCCAGCACCGACCCAACCGACCAGGATCAAGCTCGTGTCTAGCTCAACGTCTTACAATAACGCTGCTGCTTCCTCGTCTAGCGGAACGGCATCGACATCAGTGGTAAACAGCATGAGCGTCAGCCAGGTGATGAACGGCACGAGCGGGGCGGGCAGCGAAGCCGGTGATGAGGATTAGCGGGCTCGTCAACGTGTGAGGCGGTCCCAAAGAAGGGACAGCAGTAGTGTTCTTTCTGATCATGGTGAGGAAGGGGATGGTTTATCGAAAGAAGATTAGATGGCTGTTCCCGATGAATCGTGAAGAAGGGAGGAGGAGGTGATGTGGTCGATGGATGGATCAGATAAAGTAGACTACCAGTGTTGGTAGTCTTTGTATACATACATAACCTTACGATACGAAACAACCCCTCGGACGTACGTACATATGGCATGGCATGGCATGGACTTTCGATTAGTCAAAGAGGAAGAAGGAAAAGAATAAACACTAAGCAAAGAAGAGAAGCAGAGAAGCAAAGAAACGGAGATGAAGGATGAAGAAATGGCAGTGACGAAGTTTGGTTTTCAGGTGGCTTTTCTGCTTTCTGGTCAAGGGAATGGCAGGGATGGTTATGGATTTAGGTATCGTGCGTGGCATTGACATAGGATACTTACTTACCTAGTTATCAAGACTTTGTGTTATGCTTATATGGTTTTTGATGACCCGCTGGTTCGTGTTGGCTTGGGTGTGTTATGGTAGATGGCTCGGTGGTAGTTACGTAGTTGTGTGGTTGACCAGTATCGTGTAGCTAATGACTGCTGACAGGTAGTGTTTATGAAACCAAATTGTACAGCAACACCACAAACTTTCCGTTCATCTTCTTTCGTCCATCTTCTTGACTTTTGCGTGACTTGTCTGTGACAAATTTGGCGAGTCTATTTGTATGGTTTTCAACTGCTGGTTGGCTGATTTAGAGAATAGAAACCACGTTGATGTGTTGATCACCCATGTTCTGACTGATATTGCTGCCTGGACTCATATGATCGATCCTTCACACGATGGATGATGGATGGGTGGCCACCTCAACTTATCTCTCAGCTTGTGGAAAGATGGGTTTGCTCACACTCGAGTCAGGGATTCGCAGCCCCCTCCGGCCCGCTACAGTTATTTTCGTGGATCTTCTATCAAGAGATCAGACTTCTGTCCCTAGTTTGCGCTTTCCCTAGATGCTGCGTATCTCCATCCCTCCGAAGGTCTTTGCTAACGAGAGTATAGGATGCGTGTCTGGGTGTAAGCGTATATGTACTATCACCGTTTTCTGCGGTTATAAAAGAGGTTTGATGGGAACATTGACGGATCATAAACAATGAAAACAGGATTGATCAACCATGATTATTGTGACGGACTTCATGACATGTTTAATCATCATCTCTCACTCAACCTTCAACTAGCTAACTAACTACTACTTGCTACATACAGTATTTTTGCTCAACACCAATCAATCGCATCCATTATTACCTACGAATCCATCGAAAAGCCATCAATCAACGGAGTAGAAGCAGAAGAGAACTGAAATCCTCGACGCAACTTGGCAATGCCAAAAATCATGGTCAAGAAAACAAAGTTAAGAAAAGTGCAAAAAGAAATGCCTACTACAGGAATCGAACCTGTGATCTTTGCATGTCGAGACAATATCCACTTTTTCTTAGTGAAGAAGCGGACAAGGTTATACAAGTGCAACGCATTAGCCACTATGCTAAGCAGGCCAACACCTTGCGTGGTGGTTAGTTGTTGGTTAACCTTGTCTGGCTCTTTACCTATATACCGACAAAACCCTAGGTCATCCCGACTACCAACCATCATAAGCAACACCTTGAAACAAATGCCAACATCGCAACCTTGATCCGACAACAAACAATCAAACATCACAACTTTAAACGGACGACGACGACAGTTTTTTCGTAAAAAAACTGAAGCGCGCGCGCGCTCGCGTACTCCCGGTTATTTCTTTCCTTCTTAATTACGAGGGGCGCACTATGGCGATGATTAACTGAGAAACACCATCTGTCGCATGCCATTATTAAAATTATAATTGACTTATACGCCTACAATATCAACGAGCTAGAAATGCTGTGGTACCCGACATCATCAAACGTCATCCTAAACGCTCAGTAAAGTCACTCCCAAAGAACTCCAACTTTTCCATTCATAGAACAGCTTCCAGTCGTAATAGCCATTCATCTCACGATCTCGCTTGGGAATAGTATCTTGCGAGCGTTGGCCTTGAAGTTCACCACCCCCCCGACGACCGCCAACACTCTACTTGTACAGCCCGCAGCCGACCATAGAACCTTCCCTCTCGAACGACAGCGAACCGAAAATCTCTCGGCGCGGGGGTCAAGTCCACAAATCGCGGAACTCACCCGTTGGATGGAAAATGAGGCGTTCTTTCGTTCCAGCCAGACCCATCCTCTTGGCCGTTGATCTTTGCTTCTGGTGGTGTGAGAGAAAGCGGAATGCGACTGAGATATATGCAGCCTGCAGTGGCTCTGCATGACGACAGCGAGTTTGCAACTTTTGTTCACCACTCACAAGTCAGCCTCAACCGAGGAAGGAACCTGGATGCATAGGTATAACGGCCCGCCTTTTGATTCAATTGTGTGAGGAATCCTTACAGCCTGTGCTCATGGAATTTCGGTAAACCGGTAGGAGTCCCGTGTGGACAAACCATGGAAAGCAAGTCTGAATCACATGTCCCTATGGCTGCTGCTTAAGAGAAAAGGGCTTGAATTACGTTGCTATATCCTTCTTTACTACTCGGGAATCCTCTTATGTGCTATTACCTAGCTTGTGGTTTGTTCAAAACTCGCTTTGGCAATAGTGATTTGGATCCGGACTTGAACCCGTGAATGTGTTTGTCCACCCAAGTTTCGCCGAGGTATGCATGATGGTTCGCAATGCCCGTAGGATTACCTCTCATGGGTAGTCCCATCCTTCCAATGTTGCCTACGCCCGCTTGCTCTTTCTTTAGATTATACCAACACTACATGTATGACCCAGCACGCACACAACCCCCATCAATCGAAAGCAATCAAGGTTCTATACGAAGGACGAACACCATCAGAAAGTGCTAATGAATTTGTGCTTGTTAAAAATTGGGGAGATCGATTGCTTCGCTCTCTCTTTCTTTCAAAAAATCCCCACGCCCCATACATCACAAATGAGGCCACCCAAGGAGGCAAGGCCCTATAGCATATCACAGAAGAGAAGTTAAAGTAAAGTGGGTAAAGTAACAAACGATAAGCAATAACAACAGCAAAAACATGTGTGGTATAAGAATTCGCAGACTAGTGGTATATGATGTGCAGCCAGCAAGCAGCAAACTCCATGACGCCATGAAAAATTCGACAAAAACCAAAGGCAAGGGGGCGGCTGATTGGCAGAAAACACCCCGCTGAAAGCAAAGAAAAACGTGTCGACGAAGTATAAGTCGCAAAGAAGAAAGGGTTACAAAAGATAAAATCGGGGGGTTAAAGTGAACGAGTGTTGTGTTAAAGGGGGTGGTGACATGCGGTAAAGGGGCTTGGCTTCAAGGTCCACAAAGATGACAGACAGACAGCTGCAGCTCTTGGTGCCTTTTCACTCGCTTGCCTGTCATGCTGAAAAAAACCAAATCTCCTTTGTTGTGATCCACAACAAGAAATGGCCGGTATGAAAACGAAGGAAGAGAAGCAAAACATAACCGACCACGCCAGGGTCAACCACGCATTTGCGTCCTCTTTGTGCCGTAGTTGTAGCCCTGCTGTGACAAGTTTCCTGCCTATGTACACCCACCAGGCGGCAAACACTAAAGACAGGCAATAAGTGGTAGAAGTGAAAGGGGAAAATGGGCGGTGAAGCGAAGAAAGAATCTACAAAAGCAATGGAAATTTTGCGTGTTGACAACACGGTGTTGGGTGATGGCAGGGTTCAATTCGGGCCACCTCGGCGTCTCCGGCCACGGCTAGGGCCGTCGGGGCGTTGAGCAAGAACTTCTCGCAAAAGGGGATCGTCTTTGTCCTTATCGGTATGATGTACTCGTACATGTCTGCAGTATCAGTGTTAGCATTTAGTTCTCGCGGGCCCAAGGTCACTTAGGTGCTAATGCCTACCTTTGGAGGTTATCAGGACGAGGATACTTGTGCTCTCGGTCCGGACAGAATGGGCACACATAGCCTGGCGAATCATGCACCAACCCATGCCTGATCATCTCGTTCTTACGCTTGAAACCTCTTCCACCTTCGCCTCGGGAACACCCTGGTACGGAACAGTAATGAGGTCTCGCGGATGAGTGAACATTTGCGTGCGAGTTTAGCAAGTACTGCGTCTGGAACGGTGCAGCATTGCAACCCTGGAACTTGCACACATAAGTACCCGTATGGCTGGTTAGACCATCGATGCTCATTCGGTCGGCTATGGATCCGGGTGATGTTGCGGAGGGATTCATGTGACTGCGCGAATGATCCGGAGCTGGGAGTTCTGAGCCGCTGCCATAATCGTGCGGTCGCTGTATGCCATTCCCTTGAGAGAAGTAGTACGGCGAAGCAGGCTCCCGGCGGTATGGGTCGGATGCCGATTGTGGCGGCGATGCATGGTTCGTGTAGGAAAGCAGACTGGGAAAACCTGGAGGAGAGCCGGGATAAGGTTGATGTGGACTGCGTTCGATTATGGGACGGGACAGTGGATTGAGAACCGCCACTCCTAGAGAATCCCTAATGGATGGAAGCGTCTGCTGTAAGGCCCCTTCAAACACTGGGGATGTCGGCTGGATTGGTGGTAAGCCTTCGGGTAGACTATTGGGTGTCAGGGGGTTTGTAGGTGAAGTAATCGGAGGGATGCTTCCGGGCTCTGGGGGTGAAAAGGCAATTCCTCGTGGGCTATACGGAGTCAGCATCGCAGGCTGGGTTGACCTGTCTCTAGCCTTATCCGCCTCGGCCCGCCTCGCTGCTATGGTTGATTGAATCGTCGCCGGTGGCGCACTTTCCTTGATGGTATCATGCTCGGTGATTGGCGGCGTGGGACCTGCGTCTGCCTCTTCCTGCTTGACACTGGGAGCGCTGAGGTTTTGAACCACACCCAAGGCACCAGCTGCTAGCGACTGCAAGCTATCAAAGCCACCACCGGCATCAACGTCCCTGGAAGGCGGCTCGGCTGACATGTTTCGACGCCGAAGGCTTAGGTGGAGGTGTTCAACGTCATCGCGGTCTTCCCCGTTGAATTGAGGGCTCTGAATGATATCATTACCATCCATGGAGGAATTGCCCGGGCTGTCGGGCTCAAGGGAGTCGTCTCTGTCGGTATCGGAATGTTCTGATGGCAAGGCTTCGAGGCCGGCTTGGATGGCAATCTCTGGGCGTCTCCCTCCGTCAAGCATTTGAAGCAAGACGGCATCACCCTGACTCGGTCTTGACTTTATGCGGTGACGATCAGACCTTTTGTTTCTCGGACTGGAAGGAGGACTGACTTTGGGGTAGGGGAACTCGTCCAGCGAGCTCGTTGGTGGCCCAAGCTGGGGGTGATAGGGCTTCATCAACGGGCTATTCTGGGCCAGTAGTACCTCATCTGGATCGTAGCGATCTCCAGTGGGATCGTAGGCAAGAGTGGAAGCCGCCGTCGTACTCATAATTTCGCGTGTCGTCGGTGCTCTCGCTCGCGGAATGAACGTCTATCAGTTCGCCATCGAAGATCGGGCCGATACGTGGATGTTGTGATCCGTTGACCGTAGGTCGCCCGTCATGTACTGCAGACAAGTTTGTTCTTTTCCACCTCTTGTAGCAACCACTCGTGGGTCACCGGCCGTATAGTTTCGCCCCGGTCGTTCCTTAGTCCCCGTCAACAAAGCCCTTCCCGAGGGCTCCCAACTCCCAACAGCGGTCCTGGTAAAGTCGAAGTCGGAGTATCGGAGATGTGAGTTCGCGCGCAGCTGTGACCATGCGCTGGGGAACGGCAGCGTAGGGCGGCGGGCATGTAAGAGCCGCAAGAAGCAGCCCGGGGTGTATGGTGTGTGTGGTAAGGAGTTTAGCGGGGAGAGGGTCCAGGTCGAAGTCGCAAAGCAGATCGGAAAGGGCGTGTAAGAACGCGACGCTGGGGTATCAGGCAAGCGGGAGCAGCCTCGTGACTGATTTGATTGAGCGGGGGGTTGTAAATTGCAAGCCCGAGCCAGATGGAACAAGCAGATGGGACAGTGAAGCGGGCGGGGGGCTGGGCGTCTGGGGAAGCTGAAGGCGCGGAATGCGGCTCAAGGCCCTGACAGCAACGGCTGGTGGATATCCGGGACAAGGTAGAAAAGGAGGGAGATTTGAAGCAGCAGCCAGAGAGCGATGGACGGTAGTCCCGTGTAGACAACGATGGGGACACAAGGGTACTTCTTTAGGGTGCAAGGTCAAGGTAATCCGTATTCCGTGGTTACCTTGGCTACCAACCAGGAGTCGATCCAGTACAGTTTGTGTATAAGTAGGTAGAGGTAGGTGAGGCCACCGAGTCTCTTTTTGGCCCGGAGATTCCCACACCGTTGCTTCCGTCCGGTATTTTTTATGCGGCCGCTCTGGTGGGTAGACGTGGTGGTCTAAATCTTCGGATAGTCTTGTCAATGGTTGAAGTGTCGTGGGCTGCGAAGCCTGGAAAGAGGCACAGAGAGTGTAGCGAGGCAGTGGAGGATTCGTCTAAGATTGGGGTGGATGGGATGGGGGATCGTTAACGGTTTAAGCCGCAAGGCAGTGGCAGCCACCAACAACCTGGACGGAGGAAGAAGGTTGCAAGGGTGCAATGAAGAGGGCCAGCCCGGGGAAATCACATTTCAGAGCGGGATCCCAAGTCGTTGTAAGGTGCAGCAGCCCGATGCGATGGAGGATGGGAGGTGCAGGTGCAGCTGCCCACTCACCATACTGGCTGCCCACTGGCTGCCCACTGGCTGATGCCCTGTTGCGTGAGTGCGACCAGAGCTAAAAAGAGTGGAGGCGGGGAGGGGGAGCCTGAAGGGGACCCAGGGCAGTTGGAGTAAATGCGACTGGGCACCGTGCCAGCTGAGAGCTGTGGTTCGTTCGGCTCGTTTAGCACACCTCACCTCGGGGAACTGAGGCCCGGCTGTGAAATGATCAGGGGTCTCATCCAAGAGTGCCAAGGTCTCTCCCGGCCTGAGACATACAAGAAAGGATGGCTTGCCGCTGATGGATTTCCCATTTGTTGAAGATGGCGATATTTTGGAGATGTTGACAACCCCCAAGTTCCGCGGCTTTACAAGAATTGACCAAGTCTAGGTCTAGGGGCCAGCTGACAATGCTTGTTGTGGAGTAGGTTGATGGATCTTGTAAGTGAGGAGAAAGGAGGATGCACTCGGCGAGATCTGATGAACTCTTGTGCCCAAGCAGCAAAGTTGGTTTTGATGGGGACCATGCCAGTATGCCTCTTTTGATATTGGCACGGTCTCAAGGTTCGGTCTCTGGAATGTGTCCGTTCGCTTCAAGGACCTCCTCCCGTCGCTTTCGTTCTTTGACTCCTCTCTTTGGCGCATTTCTTAGGTGGGGGGTTCATTGCTGTGCTATGCTAGGTAAGAGCAGAACAGATGAGCAACGGGCAGGTGGTGAACAGTTGAACAGGTGGGTGCAATGATACCGTATCTGTCCGTCCGCCGGTTCGTGCGATTCCAACTGAGCTGTGCTGGGACGGAGGGAGGCACAGCCCGAGAGAGTGGTTGCGGGGACTTGTGAGGCTCCTTTTCCCGTAGGGATCCCGATCCCGTCTGCCCGTCCATGCGGCGGCGCCTGAGCGTTTAGAGGAACGACATGCGAGATATGGCTGGCTGACATTGCACCTACTGTACCCACGGAGCCACGTCTCGACAGGAACTGGGTAAAGGTCACAGTTCCATGAGAATGGCAGACTGACGCCGACACGAGTGTAGCGCTGTCAGTTGTCAGTGCCTGTCAGGCGGGGGCAGTGCCACAAGCCTGGAAACCAAGATACCGTACATAGTACATGGCATCTTAGCTGTCACTGTTGCTATAATTATTGCGGTGCTGTGTGGATGCAATTGAGAGACAAATGGACTCGTCGACGACTCGAGCGGCAGACGGGCACAGAAGTGGCAGTGGACATCGGCAATGACTGACAAGAAAGGGAACCCCTCGATATCGACAATGACGTTCAACGCATCTCCGCTTTCAGGAGGGAAGTCGAGATTCACAATCCACCATCGCAGCATCCACAGGGGCTCTTTGCAGTTTGAAAGAGAAAGAACGAGACAGGCGCCGCCCAGGCCCCAGGGCAGCGATGGCAATGATGGTGTGTGGGGACATCGTTGCTGCCCTTTCGACTACCAACTCAATGCCATCTTCCCTCTGTTTCAATGTTTCAAGGTGACTGCATCACAAGATTGATCCATCTCAACGCTCGTTTCCATGTCGCTTTCTTCCCTCATTGCAGTGAAAGCGTTTCACTCGGCTCAATAGAACCATAAACCAAGAACCATGATGACTGGCAAAAGAAACAGTACAGGTGCTACTCAATGACAAGAGGGCGGGTAGAGTACCTCACCTCTACACTACGCACGAAACCCACCTCCAGGCGAGTGGTTCACGAACCAAGTTCAACACACGAACGGCCGGGAGGTACTGTAATCTCTCATGACCCCACCATGCTGAGGCAGGAAAAGGGCGGGGATGCGAAATGGATGCGAGAATGCCGCGTGCGAAGGATGAGCCTCCTTCCTTCCTCGCGATAGGGATGCCATGCCGTCTGTTCCAGTTAGAGATGCAGCGGTTGAAAAGCTTCCGCACTTTCGGGCTGCGTTTTAAATCGGACAATTAGGTAGGTACAAGATTGGCACTGCGATTCGCCCTCTCTGATTCGGTAACTCACCATCCCTCTACCGGTGCCATGTCAGGTATGTCTACACGTTACCATGGGATGCCGAACATTTCTCAAACCAATATTTCTGATGACGAGGACCCAGAATATCGGACGTTATTCGAAGTGGACCATACGGGCGCAGGTGAGAAGAAAATGGACAGATTTTGACTCACTCAACGGTAAAATGGTGGATGAGAACTGGAAGAACTGAAGAAGAAGCTCCCTTTCCTCACTTCCTCACCGGGCTGCTTCCCGTGCAGTCCCATGAGGTGATCCGCCATGAATGATTGACTCGCATATCCACTCACCCACAACTGACCCGCTCCGACGACGACCAAGTGGAAACAACGCGTGCAGGGTCAATCGGCATCGGGATAGGAGACTGGGGCCTCTCTTGTCACACTCTCCACATTTTCTGGGGTCTTGCGAGGTCCAGTTGAGATTGGGGCTTGACACTTGACAGCTTTTGGGGGACTTCACTCTTCAGATCGGACTTTGGAAGAATGAACAAGTCGGGGTCAATAGAGCTTCAAACTTCAATCTTGGGTTGCCTTGGCCACCGATGGGAGATTGCACTGTCTGTCTGGTCTCTCTCACTCTCTCGTCTTTGTGTTGCCTGTCTTGTGCTTTTTTCAAGTTCCCAAAGGATTTCCCCCGTCTTCCAAGTTCCCCAACCGAAGCGAAACCTCCGAAGCCACTCAGGATGTCCATCTGGCTGATTACCATACTGTGCGGTTTACTCAATGGGCCTATCAAAGAGAGCGACTGATACTGCGTAAGCGGCTCAGCTTGCGCGCGGCGACGGTAACCTCAACTAGGTAGGTGCTAGAGTGCTCTCAGGCAATTGGAAGTTGGTCATGGTCGGTCGCGATTGTGGACTTGGACATGTATTGGCTGTATTTCTGTCGTCAAACCCGGCAAACCTTTTAGGAATATCATATTGGTGAACGTATCGGTTGATGACGGCAGTCATCCCGAAGAGAAGGGTCCCAAAGGAATGGAATGGACGACAACCTCCTCATCAACATGTGTCGGTTTACCAAGCAGCACGTGCTGCTGTTTTTAGCCGCTCCCCGCAGTCTTGAATCCACGAAAGCGACTGCCCTCTTCAACTGGCCGAACGGCATTTCTTACGTATTTTTCCCTTCAAGAAGGAAGCGAGCGCTAACCTCGCGAGGACCGCTTGAAAGGAAAATCGTCAGCAGTCAGGACCCAGAAATTATCACATACATACATTCGGCAATAGCTAACGATATGATGCTTCTCAGATCGGGTCTTGGTACATACAATGAGGCGAAAGGTCGTCGATTTCGCAGGCTACCCATGCGATATCACATCACGGGTCTGGACCGCCCAAGACCCTGGCAAGCCACCGAGCCATATCTCAAACAGCCTCCATTCCTTTTCATCTTTCTCGTTTCCCCTCCCCGATAGCGTGCTGGTGCCCACGAAAGGATTTGGGTGGGTGGAAGAATCAATGACATGTGCCTAACCAGCCGCATGATGTCGTTTGAACTCAGCCCAACTAAAACGGAATGCACATCCCCGCACCGCCGGGTCATCATCCATACCTTCAACGACCAACGAGCGACTTAAAGAACAAATCAACCTACAATGCGTCAAAAGCACCATGGGTTATCTCGTACAAATTTGCTAACACAAAGTCTTGTGCTTCAAACATGTCAATGACACCCGAGCGCCATCATACAGAAGCAAGCATCTCGGGTTGGGAGGCATCAGTCCACAGTAGGCGCTAGGCGGTCGGCGCTCAGACAGGACAGGTCTTCCGTCTCTTACCCTCGGTCAACTTGAATTCGCTTCGTCTTTTGTCTGCTTCTCTCAGATGAGCCCAAGTTGCTGCGGGTGTGGGTGGCTGACCACGCGGGCAGATCTCAGTCATCGATGTATCTTCCATTGAACGCTCGTCGCCATGCTCGTTACTGTGCATTTCGCCGAGGATGATTGACCCCTGTGACAGTGACAGTGGCATCAAGGGTGACGAAGAAAGTTCTGGCAAGTCTGGTGATGGTGGAGTAAATGTGAAAGAGGGCAGAGGGGGTCGATTTGCGGTTATAACGCCGTTTCTTCCGCATCCTTGGTCTTCTTCCTCAGAGACAGAAGATGGTTCAGAGTCTGCCCACAGACCTGGCTGGCGCTTCCGGGCTCTGATTGTCAGCGGAGGAGAAGACGGGCCGTTGCTGCTTAATGGGTGACCTATGGCCCCGTCTCCTCGTTGGTGGGATGATGATGATGATGATAGATAGGAGGTGGGCGGCAATGGGGTCGGGTTTCTTGGTAAATGGGGCGATATCTTAGCATCTATGTTCTCGCCTCCATCTTCTTCCTCCACGGGTTCTGCCATCATACCTGGCTCTTGTTCTCCATCGCAATCGTGCGCATCTGTTGCCGTACCGAGCTTCTCGATGAAAGGACCTAGCCGGATCTTCTTGGGCTCCCATGAAGCGGCGTTGTCATGCTCAAGACGTCTGAAGAGAGAGTCATCTTCCTCAGACTCGCACATCCAGCGATGTATAAGAGCTTGGCGCGCTGTGAGCCGGTGCCTGCTGTTGTAGGTGAGACATCCGCGAATGAACTCCTTTGCATCGCTCGAGATGTCTTCATCTGGACGGAGGCGGGATGTTTGAGGGTCAATGGGGTCGTCTTCGTCGTCGTCATAGGTTGGGGCGCCATCTTGAATAGTAACGTCACAGCTGTGGTCACCAAAAATGATGTTGAGATAACGGTCAATTCTGCCTTGGCTGGCGAAGTCGAGATGACGAAAGTTCGGAAGTTCCTGGAATCCAGAGAAAAGCTGAAGGCAAAGCATCCCAATGGACCAGATGTCGGCAGACAGTGAGTGACCTCGCTCGGAGTTATAACATTCGCTGAACCAATCGTTAGCATTGATTCTCAAAAATCCAGTGAAACAAGTCAACTAAAAAGGGGAAGTCAGAAACTTACGGGGCGCGATAGAAGGTTGTTCCAACCTCGGATTTTAATCTTCCATAGTTGGTGACAGCGGAGTCCCCAAAATCGGAGAGGACCAGCCTGTAAGAGACATTGGGCGCTATGGCACAGAGAATATTCTCTGGCTTGATGTCTCGATGCGCAACCCCTTTCTTGTGGATGTAGTCAACAGCATTGAGGATCTGGCGTATAATCCAACGTATCTCTAACTCGGGGAGTGTCCTCTCGCGTGATAGAAGTGAGAAAAGATCACCACCAGTAGCCAGTTCCGTGAAAATGTATCTAGAGCAACGTTAGTTACCCAAACGTGTCCGCTGACCATGATGGAAGTCCTACACAGAATGCTCTGATTCGAAGGCGGCCTTGATGGAAAGAATGTTCGGCTGACGACTTTGAATTAGTGAAGACCCTCTCTGTGTGTCGTTAAAGATCCCTACATGATCGAGATAGCTCAGCAGCATTGCCTCTTGTTTGATTCGACGGAGTATTTGATGCGACCGAGGCCGTCTATCCAAGTTGTGCACTTTGCAAGCTAGCTGCTGCCCTGTCAGAGCATCTGTGGCCAGGTAGACAGCAGCATGGGCTCCATCTCCTAACGTGCGGTCTTTCACCAGATAACGGTCCTCAAGCAGCTGGAAACTTTCAAGTTAGATCATGACATGAACGTTTTAATCGCACACCGTTTACGGTACCTTGAGCTCCTCTCGCTGGCGTGCAGTGAGACAAGGGAATGAACTTCCCTCCTCGAGCTGGTAGAACTTGAAAGTAATGTAAGAATCGATAGAGATGATATCCCCGTTCTGGAGTAGTCTTCCCGGAGTGATGCCAGGCTTCTTTCCAACACACTTTTTGTTCAGCAAAGTTCCGTTGGAAGACTGCCTGTCTCGCACAAACACAAGTGGTGTATGGCGGCCTTCTTCGTCAACAGTGATGGAATACAGCTCAAAGTGGTTTCTTGAGACCGCGGAATGGGCAAAGACAACGTCATTATTGTCTCGGTCCGTGTCACGACCAATTCTGACTGTCTGGTTTGGCCTGATGTAGAAACCGCCTGGACTTACGACTCGAAAGTTAGGGAGCACCGGTTGGAGGAGACCAGCAGAGACGGTATGACAACATTCACGGTCTGCCCAGGATAATGATATAGGACCTACCTCTGGTAGGAGGATTGGTGCTAGTGTCTTCGAAAGAAACACTTGCCACAGGCTTGTCCGACATCTCGAGCCAGATCTCAACACAGAAACAGGTTGAGCAAAGGATGATAAAAATGATCAAGTAGAGACTGGTAGTCCTCGACTCATGAAAGCGTTGATCTTGTCACTTGTGGCCGCATATGGCATTGACTGTTCATCGCCAAACGGGGCTTTGCGGATGGATGAATTGATGTTGGAAAGAGTTCAGGATCACAGGAACGAGAGTTTTCACTGAGTGGGAGGCAAGTCGATACCTTGACATCGGCCTTTCTTTCTCGTTTCCAGCCATTGTGCAAAATTTTCACGCACGGCAGACAGATCGTACCTCCCCTTCATCAGAATGTTGCAGTTTGGAAGTGAAGTGTCGCTGGTTGAGGCTCGCCAGGCAGGCAGGCACGAAGGAGTCGAGCTCCGAGTCGAGCTTCTGATGCAGTCCAAGCTCTCTTCCGCAGGAGCTTGGGCCACCTAGGGCAAAGGTCGCACACCGCACGGACTGCAACCAAACAAAGAGCGACAGCTTTTGGCAATTTGGGCTTGCGTCACCTGACTTACCCCACAGGGCTGCTTGCCCTGGAGCCCTATTAGATAAAAGTTCCCCCTCCTCCTCCGCAAGTTGAAACTCTTTCCCATCACCAACTCAAATTCATCTTTGAATCCAAGATGTTCGTGCTGCCCTCCCCCACCATCGGCTCTGCCGCATACTGACATCCAAGCAGTTCAAGATGAGAGCGAAGTGGAGAAAGAAGCGCGTGAGACGCCTTAAGCGCAAGAGAAGAAAGATGAGAGCGAGATCGTAAGTTTCACCATGGACGCATCGACCATTGATGCTGCTACATTCGCCACTCTGGAGCATTTGTGCTGACTCGATCCCAGCAAATAAACGCCTCGCCTCACTCGACCCAATCAGCTCTTGACTTCATCCTCTAAGCCATCAAACAACTTGGGCTCGGTGTCGACTCCTCCTCAACACGGAATGACGCCACATCGGTCGCTCTGAAACCTCGCGGTGATCAGGCGAACTCAGGGTTCCTACGGAACATGCACCCCTCGGGACATGCTGCACATCAAACTGCGGCACGCACAAGAACGGAACTGTTTGTTGGTGGATATGGTAGTGGCTGGTTGCCTGTCAACTTATGGTTGAGTAGCAATAGGGACGTTTACGGATCAACGCCGGTGGAAGCAAACTGTCTAGTTTGGGAATGCGAATTCGGGATACCAGTCGCAACATCAATAAAGGCCGCTTCGCTTCATGACACAATACTTCTGTATTTCTGTGACGCTCGTGAATTGCATGCCCTTGAATCAAACATCTCTCGCCGACAGCATTTATGGCATTCTGCCCTCGAACTGACATCGAATTTGGACGCCAGGGACCGGCAATTTTGCGACGTCCATGAACATTTTTTTTGACAACGCTGTAGGCCGTGTCCCACATGCGCAAAGGCAAAGGAATCGCGTCCCTGTAATTTTGATTGATCCCCTCAATGTCTTCGTGGTTGCTCAGAGCTCTTGCGGCTTGCTGCGTTTTCTTCTCTTCGAACAGATAAATACCAATTGATTCTTCGCGATGACCAATTCGCGTTTCGCACTCGCTCAAAACAATCATCAACATATCACATCGTCGTCATCGAGTGTGTTGTGCCGATTGCAAAGGCGGTAACTGATACGGGACCCCGGCAGGCGGCAGAATTTTTTTCTGGCTGCGGGATCCACTCAGAAGTTCAGACAGCGACTCTCCAGCTGCATGATCCATTTGATTTGGCGGGACTTCACGACTCCAGCACATTTGTTCGCCCGCAAACAACCACCATGGGTAGCTCATCAGACAAGAAGCGCAAGAGCGCTGAGGATACGACATCCAAAACCAAGAAGACCAAGGTCGACTCCGAGAAATCATCCAAGTCGCCAAAGTTCATCAATGTCGGTGCCGTGAAGAGGCCGCAGTATGCGCCTCCGGTCGTTGGTAAGCACATGTTGATCGGCTGAAACCATGGCCGACAAGTCCCAATGGAGGAAGACTCTAACATGCGACCCCAGCCGCGACCTCGGGACTCGCTCTCTCTTCATCCATACAATTCCAAGCCTATGCCACCCCGGCCGACAAGACCTCGAAGCGCAAGAAGAATGGCGCGCCCGCACAAGAGTTGCTGCTGCACTCTGCCAACCACCGAACGATGGACTACACAGCTCGCGAGGACAGGACGGGCGACTCGTCAGACCCATATCTGAAGCACTACATCGGCATCTTCAACCCCAAAACCGCCGAGGTCGAGATTGTGGAGGCGCGCAAGACGGTGCTCCGGGGTACAGTCAGGTCGCAGAAGGCCGTTGACGAGGCAATGGAGGAGAAGAACCAGAAACAGGTAGGCATGGAAGTGTTGTTTAGGGGCATAAAGCCAGAGACTGACGGCACAACAGCAAATGATGGCCATGAGGAACGAGCTCGGCGAGGCATTCGGTACCAAGAAGGCGAAGAAGGCGATCCGCGACGTGACCGAGAACGCCATTACATCCCAAAAGGTAGGCCAGAGCGAACTGGTGATGATGGATGCTATCAAGACCGCCACCAAGGATATGTCGACCAAGGAGGACCTCCAAGCCGCTGTCGACAACGCCCGACCAGTACCGCGCGGCAACTTCGACGCCAAGGACATCGCCGACGTCTACGTACCAGCCCAGATTATCGGATCCGAGGTTCTGAACGCGATACCAGTGATGGATTGGCAGGAGAGCGTCAAGAACCTAGAGGACATCCAGGTACCCTCACGCTTCGTCGCCAAGCGCGTCTCCAACGTAGCAAGCAGCGACGACGCGGTGCATAGACTGAGGGTACTGCGGTACCTCTTGTTCGTCATCATTTTCTGGAACGCCACCTCGCAAGGAAGGGAGCGTGGCACAAGGAGTATTGGCAAGAGGGATAAGCTGCGCGAGGTGATGGCACCAGCGCCTGAGATTGTGATCGAGAACATCCGCCGCAAGTTCTCGGACGGCGGCGTTATGCGCAAGACGCATGTCGACCTTCTGATGACGCACTGCTGCGCGTTTGCCGAGATTATCGACGGCTTTAGGGTCAACACGATCGACCTGAGGGAAGATCTCAAGCTGGAACAGAAGCAGCTCAACCAATACTTTATCGAGATTGGTGCTCGCGTCAAGCAGCAGAAGGTCGCCGACAAGATGGAGAACTTTGCCGTGCTGCAGCTGCCTCTCCAGTTCCCCAAGATCAGACTGCCGGCGAGGAAGAGGTAAATCATTCTGTACGGAGCCGGGATCACGGCCACAGATCAAATCATCAAGTGTAGTTAGATTATGCACCTTGCAAAATCTCCACCCAGTCCTACATTGCACATTTTGGCGCCTACTCTTGGAAGCGCGCTACGAATTTCTGGGGAAGGGCATGGTTTTGGCGAGAGAAGCGAATGTTCAGCAGGAAGTATGGCCGCTTCCAGCCGCAACCACCATGGTGTGTTGTTGAGACACGCAGGCGACATCCAGGCGCTGGCCAATCACAGCCCCAAGCGCCTAATCGAGAAGAGAGCCATGACTTGTACCGAACTATATGAGCATGTTGCGGAGGTATCCAGCAGTTATTTTGCGGTTCGGGCAGTAAAAAGTTACGCTTAAAAGCATATGTCATAGTATAGACGGTGTAGAGAATAGTCATGGAAAATGATGGGCCATGAATGCATGGCAGGAAGCCCATTGTCTCACAATTTTATAAGCCCTGAATGGTGTCAAAGAGATGCAGTGACATCTAAAGCCATGTAAGAGTATGGCCACCCAACAAAACTCCATCCCCCGAGTTCGGGTTCTGCGTACATCAATACTTGGCCAACCTCTTCGGGTATGTCTACTACCGATATCCGCACGGACCAGATACTGAAGATTGGAACTGAACTGATGATGGGCTACAAGACGAGTGACGGGGGCAAAGATGATTAAAAACTTGAACCAGCTAACGCCAGTTGAGCCACAAATATCAACTTAACATATATAAAATGAAGGTGCCTGGTGGATCATGAGCTGATATCAAGTTAGCCAACGACCGGGCCAGCATGAAAAGGAAGCAAAAAGGCAGCCATAGGGTTGGATGGACATCCGCCCTGTCGTCACCTTCTGGCCGCTGTTCCGCTGGCCGCTGGCCGCCCCGCGGTGTGAGATGCCGTCGGTAGGGCTGGACCGAAGCCGATCACCCAACATGGAACGATGGAGTCCCTTGTGCATCCCCAAGCGTCCAAGACTTTTGTCCGTCCCTCGTTTCCCCTGGCCCGCTGCCCTGACCACCCCGTCCGTCCTTTGCCGGCCGCTTCCCCTCGTTGGACCCTTGCGTCGTGCGAACTGAAGGTCGAGAAGTGCTTGAGCCGCACTGCAATCGAAAGCCACGTGGGGACAATCCCCACCAAGCGACCAAGAGCCAGTGCAGTTTTCCTCACCGGCACCCGGCCCCAACCAGCTCAAAATGGTATGACGACATTGCCTCTTTTAAATAGCTTTTGGGATCTTTATTTCAGACGCGTCTCACTCTCAACGATCGTTTTCCATGAATTACTCGCTTCTTTGAATTGTCGCTTCATTTTTGCATTTGCACCCTCAATTCACCTTTCCCCATGCTCCCTGTTGTCTCTGCTTTCAATCTGAACCGCCATCCTCAACAATTTTGTGTTGGTGACGGTGATAATAGGAGTGCTCAATTCACGACGCGTCAAAGTTGGAACGACGGTCGAAATGTCGGGGCAAGGGGGCAATTGCGATTTTTTGAGGTGGTTCGCATTGCCGGGGCTGGTGCCTGCAGCGCATGGACCAGTTTTTGTGGTCTCGGAGCGTGCTGATTGGCCAGAGCGGCTTTCTTGGTGCCAAGCACCTGGCAGCACCCACCCAGTTCCATTCCAGTCCTGAAGGGAACGAACGCGCGCGACGACCGACCGCCGACTGTCCACCACCTTCCCGTCTCCTCTGCCGCCGCGTTCCAGTCACCGGTCACTCATTCACTCTCAGCAACACTGCCAGTGCACTTTCACGCCAGTCGCAGTCTTCCTTTGCCCCTGCCTCTGGCCCCTTGCCTTCCTTCTCTCTGCACAACAATTCACGGCATCTCTGAGGTGAAGCTACTTAGGTATCCAGCTTCTCGATCTTCAAACCTGGATCTCAACCATCAATCACCCTCCATCCTAACCTCAACGACTGGAGTTTGCTTCAAGTCCTCCTTCACAGGAAGTTATGCGCGCGCGCGAGAGGAGTTGCACCGCACTGCTGCCTCCCTCCACTACTACAACCTTTACATAGCTCTCGGCACCAACAACACCGGCACCACACATCCCGACGTCGACTCTCCCACGAGCAGTCTAGTCTAGTGTCGGGCGTGTGTGTTCGGGTGTATCTGCGTGTCTGCGTGTGTGTGCATTTTGCATTACAAAACCATCGTCGTCGCATTCCACCAAATCTTACTACCTGCCAGTGCCTCTCCTAGATGCCCTTCGACGTTCTGTCTGGCTCTACCTCAATTACGCCCTTGAATAGGTTTTGCTCTGTCCGAACCTCAAGGCAACTCCGACCTGAACTGAAGTGCTCCGCCGATGCTGCATTATCAACGCTACCAGCGGCCCATCCCACCGTCTGTTAATCGTCGACCTGCCGACCATAAGGTGAGAGCGGAGTGTTGACCCAACTTCACTCTCCATCTCCAGGGCAAGCCAGAACATTGAAACTGTATGTGGCTCTTTCCTTTTCTGGGGTTTGCATCCTTCTCATCCCGTTCCTTTGCTTCCTATTGTTTCCCGTGGCGTGTTGCCGCATTTTATTTTGCTCGGCACTGCACAGAACCTAACACGACTTTGTACATGCAGGCTACTAGGTATTGAATAACTGTCATCAATAAACATCGGATCGAAAGCCGGTCGCAAGCTCAACAATTCACCAACAGCCAGCTTTTTCGCCATTCTCGCCATCGGCCCTCGAATAGGCGTCCATCCGAACCAACCCTACTATTGTCCACCACACCCACCCAAGTCCTATTCACAGCTATTCGTTGCAGCACTTATTGGATCACATTATACCTAGCCATTTCGCCCCCACCATCAAAAAAAAGACTTTCTCGCGATTTCGACCTAACAAATCCGACCCCGAAGACGAAAACTTTGACCCCATTGCCGAAAAACAGCGAACGCCGCGAAGTGCAAGGAAGCAAACAAGCACACGTCGCCAAAAGAACAGAGGCGCTGCTGGCGGTGCGCGCAGGCGAAACAACCGATACAAAGGGTCCGACATTGAGGACGACGACGACGACATTAGCGAGAGCGAACAAGACGTCTCTTTCGGCGAAGAGGAAGACGAAGAAGAGGAGGACTCAGACGCTCCCGTCAACGCTACGGGAAGGCGGGTGCGCCAGGCTGCCGCGAAACATCAATCATACAGGGAAAGCAGTGAAGACTCAGACGAGGTCCAATCGTCTGACCAAGATAAAGACGTAGTCCAGGAGACCGACGAAGAGCAACACAGACCCTCGATAGAAACTCCTGAACGGAGTCCCAACAACAAGAAGAAGTCTCGCATCGTCGTGCTAAGCGTCAAGACAGCCGCGAAGCCAAGCTCACAACGATCAAGACGTGGCACTGCCGCCAAAGAACCAGCAACAATGGCTCCCCCGACCCGCCGCTCTACTAGAGCCCGGACGGAGGAGACGGACGAGCCGTTGCTCGAGCTTTCCAACTCAGGAAGACATACCCGCGTCACTCGCGCATCAAGAAGCAAATCACCCGAAGCCATGGGCCACCCCCCCAGAGCTACCCGTGGTGCCAAGGGTATCAAGAGACACCAACCCCACCAATCCCCGAAGCCTCCCACGAGGATGACGACGAAGAATTCAAAGTCGAGACGGATATACCCAATGCCGACAATGTGGACGAGTTGCCCGGCGACGCGAACATGACCGATGCGCCTGCTGACCATCAGGAAGAACACCAAGAGGGAGCTGCTGAACAGGTCGTGGAGGATCAAGATGCTCAACAAGTAGCTCAAGAACAGCCTGCCCAGATCGAGAGCCAACCAGCAGCGGAAGACGCCGATGTTGACGACGAAGACGATGCTCCGATTACTAGGCGGACTCGTGGGGCTAGAGCCGTCACATCTAACGTACCTACCTCGAACACAGCTGCAGCAGCTGAGCCAGAGGCTGAAGGACTCAGGAGCCGCTTGAGGCGTGGATCTCGCCTGAACAAGAGGTCGCTCGCAGAACCTAGTAGTGACTTTGAGCCCGGTGACGAGTCGGGCGATAACGAAGCCTATGCCTCGGAGGCTTCAGTCAAGAAGAAGGGTAGTCGTAAGGCTTCCAGTGCCGACGAGTCTGCCGGCACACCCGGTCGTGGACGTTCCACCCGCACCCGCGCTGCCAAGAGGACTCGCCGTGCCCAGGACTCTGGCGATGAGGAAGTCGAGCCGGATCCGGAGGAGTTGGCTGAAGAACTCGTAGATCTTCATGAGAGCTCACGCTTAGGGCAAGGAAGAACTCGCCGTCGCCGCTCACCTTCCATTGTCTATGAGGAGCCCGCCGGCAAGAGACGTCGCACCAACAAGCGTGTCGATTATACCATCCCCCCCATCGACCTGGCCACCCTCGATGCTGAAGAGGATGAGGAGCCAGTGGCAACCCCAGCAAGAGGCCGCAAGAGGAACGCAGGCGCTGCAGGATGGGATCGTCCTTTGAACACCACCTATGGCCCATTTGGCGGCGCAAAAAGTGGTGCTCTGCTAGGAGGCCCTTGGGGCACCGGCGCCACGGGCGGCGTTGATTCCGACAGCAGCGACGACGAGATGGTTCAGCGAGCCGGTCCTGGCCAGAACCCTATTGGCATGACGCCCACTTCTGCCGCTCCCCCCGTTGGCTTATTCAATCCTGCGGCTCAGACCCATAACGTGGACGGCTTCGGTGGTATTGGAGGCGCCACACCTCAAGTTGGCAAGGTGAAGAATCCCAAGGCGTTTGCGGATGCGGATCCTCTTGGCGTCGATATGAGCGTCGATTTCAGCAAAGTTGGTGGTTTGCAAGGCCACATCGACCAGCTCAAGGAAATGGTCCAGCTTCCCCTCTTGTACCCCGAACTGTTCACCAGATTTCACGTTACACCACCACGAGGCGTCCTTTTCCACGGTCCGCCCGGTACCGGTAAGACTCTGCTTGCCAGAGCCTTGGCCAACTCGGTCGGTTCCGGAGGCCGCAAGATCAGCTTCTACATGCGCAAGGGAGCTGATGCTCTCAGCAAATGGGTTGGTGAGGCTGAGAAGCAGCTGAGGTTGCTCTTCGAGGAAGCTCGGAGGACGCAGCCAAGTATTATCTTCTTCGATGAGATTGATGGCCTGGCTCCTGTGCGGTCTAGCAAACAAGAGCAGATCCATGCCAGTATTGTCTCTACCCTGCTGGCGTTGATGGATGGTATGGATGGCCGTGGCCAAGTCATCGTCATCGGTGCCACTAACCGCCCCGACAACATCGACCCTGCCTTGCGTCGTCCCGGCCGTTTCGACAGAGAGTTCTACTTCCCCCTTCCTGATATCGAAGGCAGGCGATCGATTCTCGACATCCACACTAAGGACTGGGGTCTGTCGAATGATTTCAAAAACGAGTTGGCCCAGGTCACCAAGGGATTCGGTGGTGCTGATCTCCGCGCCCTTTGCACCGAGGCAGCTCTGAACGCCATTCAGAGGACATACCCCCAGATCTACACCTCTAAGGAGAAGCTTGTTGTCAACCCCGAGAAGATCAACATTGAGGCGTCCGATTTCATGCGAGCGATCAAGAACATGGTCCCATCATCTGAACGTTCGGCCTCATCCGGTGCCATGACCATTCCCAAATTCATCAAGCCACTTCTGGAGAAGCAGTTCGAAGCTCTCGTTGCGCAGCTCGATAGGGTTTTGCCTCGCCCAAAGAAGACCACCGCGCTTGAGGAGGCCATGTATGAGCCGTATAAGGATCTCGATGGCGGGTTCGAGAGGGAGCAGATGAGTCAGGATTTCCAGAGGTCGCGTATCTATCGCCCTCGCCTGCTCCTTTGCGGAGTGGCCGGTATGGGACACAATTATCTGTCAAAGGCTGTTTTGCATCACTTGGAAGGTGTTCACATTCAGGATTTTGGTTTGCCTGTTCTGCTGAGTGATTCAAGGGTAAGTCTTCATCAACATCGTTACCTCGTGGAATATGGACTAACGTTTCATCATCTAGCCCGCTGAACAAGCCATTGTGAGCCTCTTCACCGAGGTCAAGCGACACAAGCCGAGTGTCATCTTCATCCCTAATGTGGATGCTTGGTGGGCGACCCTCAGCGATGCCGCCCTGACGACATTCACCACGATGCTCAAAGGCATCCCACCTACTGAGCCCATTCTTGTACTCGGCACAGTGGAGACGATGCCTGAACTTGTCCCAGCAGAGATTATGACCGAGCTGTTCGGCTTCTCGAAAAGGAACCGCCCCGTTATCCCCGGTCCGGACCGCGAACAGCGTGTTATGTTCTTTCTTCCCGTCATCCAGCACCTGTGGAAGGCCCCTGAAGAATTCCCGGATCTCTCCAATCGCAAGATGCGGGTGCTCGACAAACTGCCGGTTGCCCCGCCGCCGCCACTCAGGGTTCCTACCAAGGAGGAGGTCAAGCTTCAGCGAAAGTGGGATTTTCACGCCCTGAACTTGCTGAAGGCCAGGCTGCAACCGATTATGGATCAGATCCAGCGCAGATATCGCAAATTCAGACAGCCCGTCATTCCCCCCAACACGATCAGCTACCTTTTCCAGGAGTCTGATCCCAACTATGTCCGTCCCGACGTGGGCGAACAGGAGCAGCGGCCTTTTGTCATCTCAAAGGACCAAAATGGCGTTGCCGGTCTTCTGGACACCAAGACGGGCAAGTTTTACTACAACCTTGATTCTACCACAATCGAGGAACGCTTGGCCAATGGCTATTATGCCCGTCCGATGGACTTCTACGAGGATGTTAGGCGTTTGCTCCTCGATGTCAAGACTATCGGCGATAAGGACTACCTCCCGAAGGCGAGCGAGATGGTTACAAATGTGGAGATTGATGTGTTTGATATCGACCTTAGCTTCAAAGCACAAGGCGTCAACTTTGAGGATATCTACCAGAGGCAGCTCGAGAGAGCGAGGAAGGCCGAAGAGCGTCAGCGCAAGAAGGCGGCTTTCAAGCCCATGATCGACAAGATCCAGTCTGACTTTGCCGAGACCCAGGCGGATAGTGATTCTCAGGGTCCTGTCGGTGTTGGATTGCCCATGGCCAACCAGACTGGCCACACAACGGCGGCTAGATTCCAGGTCATTGCGAGCCCCAAGTCGAACGGAAACCCCAATTCCTCCGGATCGCACCCTCTCACTAACGGAACGTCGAACCCTTCCAACCAAGGCGAGACGGGCCAGACAGTGGAGGAGGAAAGCACTTTGCTCTTCTCACAGGGAGTTGAGATCAGCTCGCCGCTTAGATATCGACATGCTCAACAACAACAACAGCAGCAGGGCAGAATCGTTACAGAGTCCACGAGAGCGACGGTCGGCACATTTTCTCAGAGATCGGTGCTTACTTCGGTGCCCCCCGGAGTCTCGCCGGCTGCCATCCAAAATGATGCTTCAAGCACCAGAACGTCTGACCCCAGCTCGGACCGTGGCGAGTGGAGCACGCAGCAGACAAATGGCCAGCACAGCATCCCTCGCGGAACATCGCAGTTAACTGAGAGCCAGGAGACGAAAATCAACCGCACGGCCGCATCGCTCGTTGTCGAGACCGGCAGTCAAAGCCAAAGCCAGAACAACTCTTCTGGCAGTAGTGGCCCGTGGCCTCATTCACAGATGGCTGGTATTGCGCAGGGCGTTTTACTGCCGCCTGTACCTGAGGAGGCCGAGGCCCACGAGACTAGCGAAGCTCCGGCTGATGGCCTCCGTTCGTCGTCCTCCAAGGACCAACCCCAACAGGGTGGCGGTAACGGCGACAGTCAAAGCAGCAAGCCTAGCAACGACACTCCGGACAGCCAACAGAGTATCGCGGAAGGCATACGCCTTAGGACACTTGCGATCGCAGACTGTCTCGAAAGGGTTCTGCACGGCCCCGTCCGCCCTGGCAGCACCGGCAAGAGGACGGATAGCTCCCCGTACATGAACAACAGCCCGGCCCTTGGCCGCAACAACGTCCACCTTCCTCCCGGTCGTCGTGGCACCACGGAATCGTCCCAGCAGACTATCCTTAATGATGGTAAGGTCTGCGAATTCTGGTCCTCGCTCGTCGACCGCACGGCCGGCTGCACCATTGAGCAGATGGAGCAGATCCACAGTCAGCTCATGTATATGATCTGGGAGCACCGCCACGAGTGGAATCGCATGCGTCTTCTGTCGATGCTCGTCGACAACTTCAACGACACTTTTGCCGACATCCAACTTGTGCAGGGCATCCGGTTTGATGCCCAGGGCCAAGAGCAGCGTGAGCGTGAGAGGAAAGAACTTGAGGCCGCTAAGAGCTCGTTGCAAACTTCTGCTCAGTTTCAGCAGGGTCAACTAACCCAGGCTCAAAGTGCCGTTGCTGCTGTTCCTGTTGGCGCACCTACCTCTACTGGCGCTGCTGCCGCTGTTCCCGTCGGCGCTCCAGCCTCTACTGCTGCCGCTGTTGCTGGCGGAGGTATTCCGACCCCTAATCCTACTATTGCTTCGGCCTCTGCCCCTCCTACCGTAGCCCCTTCTGTTACTAATGTTCCTGCCGTGGCTGGAAATGGCGACAGCCAGGGTACCGGTAGCAGCACCAGTAACAGCCAGAAGAGTGCCGGTTCCAGTAACAGCCAGAAGAGCAAGAGTGGTAGTGGTACTGGCAGCGGCAGTGCAAAGACCAGTAGCCAGAAGACGCCTACTAGCAATAGTACCAGCCAGAAGAGCAACAAGTCGGGCAGAGCTGCGGCGGAGGATGATGGGTTGCCTTATTTCTTTCTGAGGTAGGGGGCTCACAGAGGAGTGAAGACTAGGGGAGGAGTTGTTTGAAAGAGTATGTTACTGCCCTTGTATGGGGCATTTGAAGGGTGAGGGAAGAACTTTTATGAGAGAAAGAAGAGGATACTTGTCACGAAGCATGGAAAGAGGATAAGACCACAATGAGAAAAAAGCGAGTATGTATCAAGTCACTTGAGTCAAAGTCAAGTTCAGCATCATGAGCGCAAGCGCATGGAAAAAAATTGGAGGAGAATCGGAGTGTAAAAGTAGACTGGACTGGAGGGACGGAGGGACGATTCCACATTTTACATGTTTTTTCTTCTAGTTGCTCTTGCCTTTCCCGCCTCATTAACCATTCCCTATGGTATCTGTTTATTGTTGCTACTTTGTTTATGTAGCTAGAAAAGGGGCTTTGGTCTTCTCAGGTTAGGTTAGCTGGTTAGGTAAACCCTTTTTTGCTTGGGTTAGCTGTTATAGGACACTATACTATGCTATACCTTGATTACTGCATTAAGTCGATAATTATGGAACTTACTTATTGATTGTTCAAGATTATGCAATTCACAAGTGTTACACAAACCACCTACATTTCAATCCGGGGTGATATTAATCACGTCAGCCATCCATCCATGTAAGCCACTGACCTGTTGAAGCCATCTATCTATCTGTACACATATGAACATGAGAGATGGGCGGTGAGCGGAGCTAGAGGCTGATGATGTACATGGTACGTAGGTATTGTGTGACGAAGAAAAACTCGGGGTCATTTAACGAACGGAAAGCGGCGCAGGGCGGTAGGGTGGTAAGGCGGTAGGGCGGCGCAGGGCGGTAAGACAGTCCAATCCCGTCATCACTGCTTGATCTTAGTGAGTAAGTTGCGGTGCTGAGTACATAGTTAAAATGCACATTTTTTTTTTCACACTAACGTCTACTGGGTTGAAGATTTACAATTCGTTTATGTCTATACATGGCATTTCGAAGTTCTTCGGCCGCCGGGTGTCGTTGTCCTCGGGTCGGGTGCCGTCGTCTGTTGACGAACGAACTGGCGTTCCCGTCGGCGAACCGCCCGACCCGCCGGGGCTATAGGTAGTTAGCTGTTAGCGGCATCGCATCTACGGAGCACGGTACGGAGTCGAAATCTGATACACGGACACCATCTTGGCCCGAATCCCGGGCCCGGCGGCTCTCGATCTGTTGACCGAACAGACTACGTACGAATAGGTTGACTTGACGCTGACGGGTTCCCGCCGTAAACCAATTTGAATTCCGACAAAAAGAGGAGGAGACTTCCTCCTACACTGCAGTGAGTAGTGTAGTTAGTGTACAGTGGTTAATAAGGGGCTAGATACTATGTCGATACTTTTACTTACCAACCCCACCACCCGATGTCCTTCTAGACCCTGAGAACGCCGAGAAGTTGAACCCCTCAAAAACTGACAACACATCGGGGTTGGCGGCTACGGGGGAATTGGGGATGGGGTCTGATGAGCGGGCATGGGAACATTTTTTTGGTCATATGGTCGATATGTATGGGAATTTCCTCTTCCCTGCGGATCATGGATAAAATCTGGATGTCGCCATTAATGGACAACCAGGGCAAAGTAGGATATCGCCAACTGGACGGTGGATGGGGAATGTATCTTTTACTTCTCCATAATGGAGTTTTCTTTCCCCCGGTCCTACTCGACTAGGAGTCCATATATTCATCTGTCCGATGTGCCGGTACACTACAGTTCGGGCCTTTCTCGAGTCCAGAGTCTTGGGAGTTCTTGTTGCAGGTTCGTGGCTCCATTCGAGATCCTGACATTCGAGATCCCGAAGACCCTAGTTAGTGTGTGTAGTGTACACTACACTAGAACTACAGACATCTGATAGACAAACATGCCATGCCATGCTGCGGTGCCACTGGATAACATCCGTCATCTCCGTCTCCGTCTCCGTCTCCGTCTCCGTCTTTTCGGGGTTGACGGCAACATTCGGGGAGTGGAGTGTTGAATTTTGTTACCGCTGGTTTGAGAGACGATCATCACCTTCTCGTTCGATACTACACGTGTAGTTACAAGACAGCTCCAACAGCGGTGTTCTCCAGCTCTAGAGTTAGTCACGTTGTCTTGTGCCAGTCAGTCTGGAGAGAGGCGGTCTTTAAAAGTGGTTCCTCCTGGCCATCTCGGTCATCTAGTGTATCTGTAAGTGTGGGGAGAGACGGAAAAAGAGGTCATAACGTATCAGGTTTTTTTGCACGCGGAATGCAGTGACCGGGTGTCTTTGGACGTCTGGACTCAACTTGGACCCCTTCTTTCCGGAGACAAATTGCACGGGTGTTCCTGGAGTGAGGAGACTTACGTACCGCCGCCGTCTGACCAACACGTTGCCGCACTCTCCGTCCGCCTCTTCCAGGCTTTGACCTAACAATGATGACGCCCTGAGCCCCCGCCCGCCCAGTCTTGCCAGTTATTGTTGCTGCCCTTGTTGTTGTTGCCATCTTCGGGTCCGGGACTCGGTCACTGCACCCGGACGTTGCAAGCGCGGATCACCTATTGTTGAGCAGTACCTAACATACATCCATAGTAGACAGGTAGGGAGACCTTCCTGATGATGGGACAGGATCCCTGCCATTCTCAAACAAGCGGGCTTTGCACGGTGCAGTGACATGGAGAAACGGGACCCTAGAAAGCGGATGTCGAGGAACCACTTTCCAGCAAGCACTCAATGTAGGCGCTCCACTTGGGAGCCAGCGCCCGATCCGCCCCGGCCAGGGCACTGGACCTGCGCTCTTCCGCCATCCACCTTGCACTGCGCCGGGCATCCACCATCCACGCTGCTTCCCCTTACGCAAGCCGCACCAACCTGAAGTACCTAATCCCAAGGCGGCCCCTTGGACACCTCAGACACAGTCCACGCATATTGTCCTCCTTGATTCTTTCCATCATTAGGTTGCTTCTCCCTTGTTAAACTCCTGTCAAAAGTCAAACAAACCCTCAACGACGACCCGGTTCCGACCTTGTGAGATAGAAGTGGTTCCAGTCCAGGCGACTCCCTTTTCTCCCGCACCAACACCCGACTCTACACTAGAACTGAATCATCTCATCCGACCGCTGTCTGCTGTCGTCGTCGACGTTGTCCAGGTTCACAGACAGACACCTTGGCGGCCAGCCCAGCCCACACTCTCCACTAACAAACAACCCGCCTTTCTTTCGTCCGACCTCCGCGACCGCAACCCATGCGACTCCTATAACGATCGATATCTAATCTCGATTTCTGTTTGCCTTGGTCTTACGGACATCCGTTAGGCACACCGACGCACTGCCTTGTTCCGTGTGTCGAGGAGTCGGAAAAGGGGTTGCCGCAAACCGATTCGTGATTCACACCAAACCACATTGCCGACTAGTGTATCCAACTTTCGTTACCCTCGGTAAACCATCGACCTCGACTTTGCAACCGCTGCCGGACTTGGAATATCAACAGTACACTACACTTGTCAGGCAGTCGAAGTCCCGAAAGTCTTGACTGCGATCCGGTAACCGCTTCTGAGCCCCAGTACATCTGTTGGCTGGGCATCACGACTTGCGCCCTCGACTAAGCACGAGGATCCATCAGTTACTTCGACACATAGCGTGGGACATACGCACATCGTCATCATGTCGCTGCCGTACGGAAAGCATCAGAGTATCTCTGAAAGGAGAGGCAGTGTCCTCGGGGAAGAGTTGTCGCTCAACACACACAGCGCCAAACTGGCGCAACAACATCGCCCACAACCGCCATTAACACCATTAGGCATGAACCCTTCGGCCGACTTCAATCAACAACTCTCAGCCGGCTCACCGCCACCACCTCCCACCCCGGCCGCATCTCCCGGTCCATCACAAACCCAGCCGGACTGGAGTAACACGGAAGACGATGAAAGCATAGTCTTGTCCATAATGCGGGAGAATTTCCTCAAGGCTACCACACCAGAGAAAAAGCGAATACTCGAGGACATTGTGAATATGTGCAACAGCCAACAGCTGAGCTTTATTCTTCAGCTTGTCAGCCCGCGTTTGAAAAAGGACCCAATGATGATCCTGCCCGATGAATTGTGTTTAAGAGTAAGTCCTGTGTTTGTCCTTTCGGGTGTATAGCCAGTTTGTTAACCCCCAGGTCAGGTTCTGTCATTTATCGACGACCCCAGGGACCTTGCAAGAGCTTCTCAGGTGTCCCGCAGGTGGCGGGACCTGGTGAGCGATGACATGACATGGAAAAACTTGTGTTTGAAGCACGACTATCAGCGTAGGCTATCTGAGGTACAGACTTCGATGCAGTACTCCAATTTCCTGCGGCCAGACCCGCCGAGCAGCTTTTACCAGCCCTACAGCGCCCCCGCGACCTCAGTTACTTTTGACGACGCAATGAGCCTGCGGAGGCCCAGGTCATACAAGTCGCACTTCAAACAACGATATCTCGTGGACGCCGCCTGGAGGACAGGGGGACGCAACATTACAAAAAACATTACCCAGGAAGGCGGTGTAGTCACTAGCCTCCATCTTACCAAGAAGTACATCATTGTAGCTCTCGACAACACCAAGATTCATGTCTTCGACACGGAAGGAAACGAACTACGAACACTCAGGGGCCATATGATGGGTGTCTGGGCTATGGTTCCTTGGGACGACGTCTTGGTCAGTGGTGGCTGTGACAGAGATGTTCGTGTGTGGGATTTGACCACGGGGTAAGTTACACCAGTTCCTCTTTTCAACCAGTATCAGGACGTTCTGCTGACACATGCACCCAGTGTCTGCATGCATACACTCCGTGGACATACCTCCACCGTCAGATGCCTCAAGATGTCGGATGCGAACACTGCCATCTCCGGATCTAGGGATACGACCCTCAGAGTCTGGGATATCAGGAACGGAGTGTGCCGAAACGTGCTCGTCGGTCACCAAGCTAGTGTGAGGTGTTTGGAGATCCATGGCGACATTGTTGTTTCGGGAAGTTACGACACCACCGCCAAGGTCTGGAGTATTTCGGAGGGCCGCTGCCTACATACACTTTCGGGTCACTATAGCCAGATTTACGCGATCGCATTTGATGGCTACCGTGTGGCAACTGGAAGTCTGGACACCAGCGTGAGGATCTGGAACGCCGCTACCGGGTAAGTTTTACTGCTCGCCTTTTTCCCTCCCTACTCGCATGCTCTTGTATTGACACCGAGTCTAGTGAATGCCAAGCGGTTCTACAAGGTCACACGTCTTTGGTCGGACAACTGCAAATGCGTGGTGGCACCCTCGTCACCGGTGGTAGTGATGGCTCGGTCAGAGTCTGGTCGTTGGAGAAAATGTGCCCTATCCATCGCCTTGCGGCTCACGATAATAGCGTCACAAGCTTGCAGTTTGACGACACGCGGATTGTCAGTGGTGGCAGTGATGGACGGGTTAAGGTCTGGGATCTCAAGACTGGCCAGCTTGTCCGCGAGCTTATCTCCCAGGGAGAGGCTGTTTGGCGTGTTGCCTTTGAGGCTGAAAAATGCGTGGCAATGGCGCTGAGGAACAGCAGGACAGTTATGGAGGTGAGAAATCGCGATAACCCGGTGAAATCTGTTGTTTGGCTGCTAACCAAAATAATGATAGGTCTGGTCCTTCTCTCCTCCCGAAGACGTTTTTCTCGATCGACACGAGCGACAGCCATTCACCCTCACGCCGCGACCGACTATCGAAGCACCCGTTCCCGAAAGACCGTCCAGTGCGGTGGGTGATAGCCTGATAGGAAACGGAATGCAGGACGTGGATATGCCCGATGCTGGCCCTGCCACGGCTCCTCTTCGACCAAACGCATCGTTCTTTCAAGCATCCAGGGGGCTTGAAATTAAAGAGGAGGGGACCCACACACCTTTCGGGCACAGTATATCATCGGCAATCATCGCTGGGGGATATCAACGAGCCTAACTCGATAGGTCATCCGTGACGTGTTGCCAAACGTCTGGGAAGAAGCCAACTCGAGAATTGGATGTTAGGACAGATCTCGACCACCAGAAATTTCTCTACTCACACAACGACACAACCCATCGCCTTTAATATACTCAACGATACAATTCAGCGCATTGGTTGGCGAAAGTCGGATGAATCAAAGACAATCGGAGAGCGCACCTAAGTAGCGCGCGACGCCAGTACAGCCTACCGAGGTTGTTGACGTGACGGCAAACCTACGATCACCGGGCGCGAATCCCCGCAGGGAGCATTGCTATGGCGTTGACACACACTTGAGGTTTTCAAAGTACACACACACCCACACACACTCGCATTCGGACAGGCAGACAACGGACTCAGCATTTACTTTTTTTTTCTTATTTTTGTTTTTATCCCGTCTTCTCACTTGCTATTTATATCTTTGTCGGAAACGCAGCTGGAGGACAGACAGACGGATAGTCAGGCAGGCAAGCAGACAGACGATCCATGGACAGCATTGGATTTGGGAACAGTACAAATACACTTTGTTCAGGAACTCTGAATGCATTATCACGATACACTACTGCAACCGGACTATGAAAGACACTGAAAGAGACGGACACCGTTCAGTTAACAATGCCTCAACTATCTTATATCTGCCTGTTTTTTATCGCTACAATTATGCATGTCATATTCGAGTTGGAACCCACAATTATTGTGCCAGAGCCATGCCTTATTGCAAGATAGGATACTATACCCACCCACTACTTGTCTATATATCCATTCATTCATCCATCGCTAAATATAGGCAGTTCGGACTTTGATGTTGCTGTCAAGGTATAGATAGTAATTGGATTATTGCGAGTCTTTCCAAAGAGGAGTAGAGAGTTCTGTAGCTAGAAATTAATGAAACAGCTCACAGGATGGATTGTTAGTCTCATCATTCGTCTGCAACTGATTGACACAGTCGTGATATTATTATTATTATTATTATTA